TCGCCACCAATGCAAGTATTTCAAGAAGAACAGAAGATTTAGAATTAGTGATGACTTGATAGCACTGTGAGAAAAGTTGTTCAGATGGAGGCTGTATTTGTAGTATGTGTGATTATGTGGGAAGGGACCTCACTTTTAATTTTGAAGGTTATTTCTTAACAGTGGGAAAATGCAAATCATTCTTGAACCTGACAGTGGAATAGAACTCCATGGCCTCTGTTTTCCTTCTGTTTACTTCTTAGGATTAGGGGCTGTGTGGGATGAGAAGTTCCATTCTCCTTTTATGAGATCTTGGCTGAGCAGAGAGCTTCTGTCCAGCATGTCTCCCTCCCCAAAACCTCTGCCAGACCTCTGGACGCCACATTGCCCAGCCCTAAAGATCTCTTAAAGTTTTAGGCAACTGCAAAGCAGTTCTTCTAAAAGTGTAGTTAACCATGTTGCCCTTTAACCTTGACACCTTTGTTGGTCTTTGCTTAGATTCATGAACCTTCAGGACATACAATCAGTCAAACAGCAGGCAAAATGCTAGGGTAAAACAAAAAAAAAACCAAGCAAAACCCCTTGGTGATCATGAGCAGTGGTGCTTGGAATTGCAAATTTCCTAAAACTAAAGCTGTTTCTCTGACACTTTCCAGTTTCTCTGCCTGTTCTCACTCCCTAAGGAGTTTAGCTCTCATTGACACCTCCCCCAGTGGTTTTCACTGGTGGTGCCAGGGTTGTGTTCACCATCTGTGTACAGTAGGAAGGGCACAATGGTTGCATTTCATTAACTGAAATGTCTATTGTGCGAGTGTCTCTATTCCCCCTGTCACTGGGTGATGTCCAGAAATAGTGTGTGCCGGAACGCGGGTGGCATAGGCACCGGCATGAAGCTGATCTTACTTTTCACTGTTGACCCAATGCCACAAGATAAGAAAGGGTTGGCTCTGTAGGATAATTGGTTTTGTCTTTGTATGTAGGGCCTTTCCAAGGCTTGTTTTTTCTGTCCTCCATTTTGGCTGGTATCTCCCTGCAGACACAATAGAGTGGCAAGGTCAGGAGAGGCAATTCCTTTAAAACCCCGCGAGTCGGCAGTTAGGCAGTGATGACACTTGGAAGTGTGTCTCGTCATGATCCCTCCCTGCTCAGAGCATTCTTGGATGATGTGCTTTGGCACCAGAGGTGGCATTGGCTGCTGGATGTGTCTTATGAAAGTCAGGGCATGAGTAGCCCTGGGGCAGTAATACAAATGCTCATCCTTTCCCCTGCATCTCTTCTAACATCCAGAGTTGACACTCAAACCACTTTTGTAAAGATCCATCTAAGTGCTTAACACTTTTTCTTTTCTAATAGAAATTTAGCTATGGCTTTGACTTGGGGCCCTAAATTGTTTTTGCTGTGCTGAAAGATTTCATGTGCCTTTTGGATACTTGTCTCTGTTGAAACCTTCTCTGCTCATTAATAATGTGGCAATTGTCAAGGTTTGTGAATTTTATTTACCAAAAAACTGCTGTGGAGTTCAGGTTCTAAACGGCCAGCTTTATAATAGCTAATTACATCTTTTTTAAATGTTCCTTATTTTGTGAAATTTGTTACCAAACTGGGATTTTAAATCACCAATGCTGTGAGACTTGTGTGTTCATCCCTTCCCACCCTGCCTCCACCTCAGTGGTCGCCGTGATTAGCAGATTTAAAACACAATGGAGCGGGCCTGAATAGCTGTCACAGAGGGCCCTTGTTAGGCCCAGGCTTCTGCCATTCCTGACAAAGAGGCCACAAGGGGTATGTATTACAGGCTCCCTAAGGTTCCCTTCTTGTGAGAGGGATTTGGCTCTTTAGCTTTCAAGCTGGGGTTTAGGAGGGGCTGATTTGGCCCATCTGGCTACTTGGGGATCCCTACCTTCTGCATCATTCTGAATTTGGCCTGGAAAGTGTCAGGTTGGCTGCATACATTTTGAACTCCCTCAAGGACCATCTGGTCTTTTAAATTCCATGTGCCACGTTTTTATCAGTCAATGCTTACTGAGCCTTTGCAGTTCTGGGCTGCAGTGACATCATCGTGCCTACAGGAGTACAGTGAGGACCTCCCTGGGTTGTGAACATATGCTGGATATCCCCTTTTCTGGTTTTTGTTTTTCTTCTTTTTCAGGTTCTTAGCTCTGGCTGGAACACCTGGATGCCTGGATGCTGGGCTCATTTTTCAATATCAACTTCAATGTCATTGCCTTGCTAAAGCCTCTGGCAATTTAGATGTGTTCTTTCTTCCCTCTGGATTTTTATTCTGTTTCCTTAGACCTTTGTAAACCATCCATCCATCCATTCACCAAAAAACGTTTATTGATGCTTAAACTATTTTCTAGCCTTGAGATATGTCTATTAACTAAACAATAAATATATTTCTCTTCCTTTTGGAGCTTACATGCTAGCTGAGGGTGATGCTACACATAAAAAAGCACAGAAGAAATAATATTTTAGAAGGGATAAATGGAATGAAATAGGAATTAGAAAAGTCAGAACAGGACAGAATTGATTAGAGGAGTGGGCAAAATGCTGTAAGTGAAATGGACAGATCTCAGTGACACTTAAAGGTCATCATGGTAGTTACAGTAATTTGTGTGCACTTCTTTTCCTTAACCAAAGGGCAAGAACTGGCCAACCTCACTACTTTTGTCTGGGTAGCACTTGGCATAAAAATGCCTTCACTATAGTGGGTAATAATCAGTAAAATGAAAGGAAATACATAAAAACAAATTTGAGGACCCATCAATAAAGCCACTCATTATTTTTGCTCTACCTTGTCTTAAAATACTCTTTGATAACTCTATGGTTAGGAAGCTGAAATTCTGTCCTTGTATACTTATTCCCTCAGCAGGGACTAGGTTTTGGAAAGTCTTGATTAATGCCTGTGTTGGTTAGCTTTTCATCTCTATAATATATACTTGAGATAATTAACTTTGAGAAAAGAGTTATTTTGGCTGACAGTTTTGGAAGTTTCAGCCTGTGATTGATTGGCCCCATTGCTTTGGTCTGGTGAGGCAGCTCCTCCTGGCAGGAGCATGTGGCAGAGGAAAGCTGTGTATGTCGGGAGCCAGCAACAAAGGAGAAAGAGGAAGAAGCTGGGGTGTTGCAGTCCCCTTTAGTGCGACACCCCAGTGACCTGAAGACCTCCCAGGAGGCCTCACACCTTAAAGTCTCGACCTCTCTCAAACAGTGCAACTCTGAGGACCAAGGCTTTGTGTAACCCATGGGCTTTTGGGGGCCATTTGACATCTAAACCACAGAATTCCTAAAATAATTTTGTACACAGAAGACTGCAGTTTTAAGATAGAAACTACAGCTTCATTTACAAAAGCACAGAGGAGTTAGTGATTACTATTTTGGCCAACTTTTTGCTCTACAAGAATCATTTTAAAAATAAGTGATTTTTGGCAACTGAATGGGGAAAACATTTTAAAACTATTTTTTTTTAGCAAAAAAAAAAAAAAAGAAAGAAAGAAAGAAAAGAAAAGAAAAGGAAAAAAACCCTGAAGTGTTCCTTGACAGCTTCCAGACTTAGTCTACAGTTTGCCGTGTGTATCAAGTGGCATCACAGTACCCCTGTCAGAGCAAAACCCAATGTAAACTGTGCAGATAAAGAAGTTACCTGACCAGTTTGTGTGCTGCATGGCATTTCAGTTCTTACCTGAGGTTTAGATATTAGGGAGAGTCAGTGCAGACTAATTTTCTTGGCTGATATTGCTGTATTGAATTTTAAAAAAAGGACTGGCATGGTGCACATTGCTAATCACAACTACCCAGGAGGCTGAGGCAGTAAAATTATAAGTCTGAGTACAGCCTGAATTAATTTAGTAATTTAGTCAGACCCTCTTTCAAAATAGAAAGATCTGGAAATGTATTATAGTGCAAAGGCCTTGGGTTCAACCGCTGGTAGTGAAAAACAAAAAAACTCAAAAAGCATATGTCACATGCTCACAGGATGTGGGAGTCAGGAAGGCTCCAGGGTGACCTTGCACTCCAGGCCAGTCCTCTCTTGGGCCACCATGTGGGAAGAGAAAGGAAGGACAAACAGCCCAGGATCGATGTGGTTATCTCTGCCATGGTCCCAAACCTCTTCCTCCTTTCGCCCCAACTCACTTTGACCAGTTTTATTGTTTGTATTTCTGTGTAAGAGTTTGGATAAAGGAAGGGTTCTGAGGTTAAGCATATTTTGGAAGAAATGATTTATTCTCAGGTAACTCCCTCTTTTTCCAGGTAAAGACACAAGAGTCAGGGGAAGCTAACACATGCATACCTAATGATTGGTACTGCAATTGCTACAGCAGTTAGAAATACACTTTCCTGAGACAGTTTCCTTACGTGCCTGCTGTGTTGCCTCAGTGTGAGAATCCAATGGGACAGACAGGAAAGTACCATGCACAAGAGAGTCTACACTTAATGCAACTTCAGCGTCAATGTTATTGTCATTCCCATTCTTTACCACTACTGTGATCACATAGGTCCCAGGAAGCCTTAGGGATCATTGCAGGAGCTCAAGGAACCTCTCTTCTTTAGACAAAGCATCTTCTCTTCTGTCTTCTTTCTACATCAGCTTTATGTCTAAGGTTTCTCTGGAAGCAACAGCTCTGTAGCTTCAAAACAGCTTGAAAACAACTGACCTAACAGGACTTTTGCAAATGAGAATAAACAGCTGTGTTCCTTTAAAATGCGGGTGGTAAGTCAGTGACTGTGGAGATGACCAGCTGCAGAGTGTTCAGGGAAATCATGTGATGAATACCTGGTACAAGGGAGCACAGATGTGGAAGTACTTGAGTGGGCTGGCTTGAACCAGATGGACTGAAGCTCACCATGGAAACCTTTGAGCTGCATTGAGATTTGGGGTGTCTTTTAAAGTTGGATATTCCCAAGGCCTTTGACTTTTTGCCTCTGTAACGCTGTGTAATGGTCTTGTGTAAGTACCAAGATGGAAACTTAAGTTGTACCTGACAGATCCTGGTGTCTTCTTATTTGTCTTCACTTTTTAGTGCACTTACATTTCAATCAACCAAGTTCCGAGGACCCATGCCATAGTGATAAGCAGACCTGCCTGGATGTGGGGGGCAGAAATGGGAGCTAACGAACATGGAGTGTGCATAGCCAATGAAGCCATCAATGCCAGAGAACCGGCCGCTGAGACAGAAGCCTTACTGGGGATGGATCTGGTCAGGTACTACATGGTAATCCTTTTTGAAATAACTGCCCAGAATATATTGAAAATGGGTACAAGATTTATTTCCTCCTAAACTTCATATTTTGTGACATAGTTCTCCTAAAGATGATGTGTACCTTTTGATGGAAACTTTGAGATGATGGGAAAAAGGATTAGATAACAATGGGGTATTATTTAGCAGTAAAAAATCAAATACTGCTCTATGCTACAACCTGGTGACTTTTTTTTTTTTTGAGACAAGACTTCACTGTGTGGTTCAGGTTGGTCTTGGATCCACTGTGTAGCCCAGGCTGGCCTCAACTTTTTTTTTTTTTTTTTTTTTTTTGTCTTTTTCCTTTTTATCGGTACCAGGGATCGAACTCACAACTGCCTGCTTTCAAGGCAGGCGCTTATGCCGCTGAGCTAAACCCCCAGCCCCCTGGCCTCAACTTTGCAGTGATCCTTTTGCCTTAGCTTGTGCCACATTGCCTGGTCCAACATGATGATCTAGAAAACATCCTGAGGGAAAGAAACTAGACACAAAAATCACACATTGTATGCTTCTATATATGTGGAATATACAGAAATGCAAATCCATGGAGGCAGAAAGTAAATTAATGATTGCCTGGAGTTGAGGCTGGGAAGAGGGAGTGGACAGCGATTCCTTAGGGGTGTGGGGTTTCTTTTTGGGGCATTGAAGTGTTCTAAATTCAGATCATGGTGACGGTCGCACAACATTGTGAACAGACTAAACCTCACTGAGCTGTACAGTTTAAATGGGTGAATTTTATTATATTTGAAATATATAAAAGATATATACAAATATGTAAAGGAGATAAAAGAACAGATCACTTTCTTCTCCTTCTGCATCTGTTATATTTTCCTCCTCTCCCTCCCAGACACCATGAACCAGAAACAGCAGGAGGTAGTAGCTGGAGGAGGCAGGAATCTTCATCTGTTTGCTCACCCTTTATCATAAGCCCTGGGAACTATGTGGCTGGCACATGATAGGTGCTGAATAACTGAATTTTGAGTGATGAACTAAAGTAGAGAGTGGGGTAGAACAAAACAATTTGGTGAAATGACTTGTTTTGTTGTTTTACTGAAACAGTGAAATGGAATATTAGCATAACCTAGAACCAGCTTTTAGGGTGCACCAAATTAAATCCCTTCTTGGGGCCAACTTCCCCTTGGTTTTCAATAGAAGATCTTAGTCACGTGTCTTCAGAGAACTCTCCCCAAACTAACTTCCTTGAACAGGAATAGAAGGTTTGACATTGGTTTTGTAGGGAGAAATTGCACATTTAGGCAGAGGCCCGTGTAGCTCACTACTTCTGCCGCTCAGTGTGTGAGCTGGTTGGGACTCCAGCTAGGTGGCATACTGCCTTTGTACCTTCCTTGTGATTCCCGCTTCTCATAAACCTGGTGCAGCTTCCTGAACTGGGGAAAAGGCAGAAAAAGTCTCTCATTTACAACAGTTTTCTCTTGACTAACAGAATAAAATGTAAGATTAACACAAAGTTTTGAATTTATATATATATATATATATATATATTTTTTTTTTTTTAAATCACTACCAGGATCGAACTCATGACCACACGCTTGCAAGGCAGGCGCTTATGCTGCTGAGCTAAATCCCCAGCCTCTGAATTTATATTTTCATTGGCTTTCCAATATTTTTTTAACCTTTCAATTAAATAGAAATTCTGAAAATATAAAATTAGGAATGAAAAAATACGCCTTTGAAATTCCTCATTTATAACAGGTGTTATGAGTTATTATGTGTGCAGTCTGGGAATTACAAACTGACAAAAATCACCATTTTAAAGGTTAGAATGATGGAAGAAAATGTTATTCTCTTCCAAGTCTCAGGTTATCTTTTCAAGATTGTCAACCAAGAAAATGACAGGGTTTTCTTGAATATCTACTTTTTGCCAGACTCTGTGGTTTAGAAGAAGCTCAGAACTTCAAAGAGATGTTTAGTCTGGTTGTAGGGAAAAGACAGAACATTGAGCAGTGTAGATTTTATGAACAATTTAAGACATGACAGTAGGAGAGAGCTGACTCAAAGAGCTATGATATCATATGGAAGACCCAGAGAGTTCCAGGCTGTGGCCTTCAGTGAACATTGCTGGCTGGTCAGTTTTCCACGAACTGGGCACATTTGGGATACTCTGTGGTGGTGTGTTTGACTCAGATCTTCAAGATTGAAGGATGTGGACAGAGAGGGTATGTTTGGCACATAATTGTTAATGTGATAGTTAGCAAGGGCAGGAATAATGACAGTTGTCAGGAGATGACAGGGTGAGAGCTGCACCTTAGTCTAATTTTATCTCCTTCCCTGACTAGCTTGTCTGGCTCTTGCAATAAAAAGATGTGAAGAGAACCAAAACCCATCACTGGCAGGTACCTGGTAGGGGAGCTGGGGTGCATATATGTGGATCATCTCTAGTGTTCACCATCTAGTTTGAGCTTTAAATGAACTATAATTAGTTCACTGAAGCCCAGTCAGAACACAAGGGACCATTTCATATCAACCAAAGCCTACAGTTGACTCCTGAGCTGGAAGTCCTCTTGTATTAATTTCCACAAAGCTCTAAAAACAGTCTGAGCAGCTAGATTCTGGAGCAGTGATTGTGACAGCCAACAAGTGTGGCCAGTTAGAAATGCAAATTCTCAGATACTGTTCTACCTTAACTGAATTTGGCAACCTGTTAACCAACCCTCTCAAGGTGGCTGCAAACCATTGTTGCAGGAGGAGCTTGCCATGAGTTTGTTACATTCTCTTAATTTTGGGCTCCGCATTTCCCTAGGTATTGGTGTCTGAGGTATCTCTCTTTCCTCTGCCTTTACTTGTCCTGAAAGGATGTCCTTTCCTGGACACCTGTGAGAGTAGGCTGTTTACATTTTACACTCCATTTCAGTTCTATTCTGGACTATGGCTAATGATTAAGAGTACAGAATTTTCCCCATAGCTATCTTGGGTCTTTGTGCTTTCCATCCATATGCCAAATCCACCTGCAGTTCGAGCAGATCCATAAATGACAGTGTTTTAATAGACATTGACTTTAAAACCAAGGCACAAACTGTGTGCCTCTTAGAGGCTTAGGGGGAATGCAAGCTTTAGGAATTATTGTTTTTAAAATTCATTTTCTGTGAATTTGCCTGTTTTTTATTTTTGTTTTATTTATTTATTTTTGCTTTTGATCCATGGATCTCTGTGAGACTCTGACAGCTAAAGCTTTATTTTTTTTGCTAAGGAAAAGGCACATACATTTCACATCTTTCAAGAGATTGGTTTTAAAAGCCAAGCCACTGACAGCAGCTGATGAGAGGTGGAAATTTGTTTTCTTGGGTCGAAGTGTCTCTTACAATCCAAGGTCTGTTTGTCATGATGGTGTGTCTTCTATGTGTATGAGGACCAAGCACTTTGGGAACCCCCTGGTCAGTGGTACATTGGAAGTGTCTAATAAACAGCTTGGTTTAGTGGGCAGACCTGATTTGTGACCCTTTCCAATTCATGTGGTGTAAGTCCTCCCATCATGACAGATTTCAAGTTACCAGTGGCTTATTAACTGGCTCCCATTCCCTAAAATGTGAGCGTCTGCTCCCAAGCTGGCATCAGCTCATTGCAGCAGGTTACTACACTCTTTCAGTATTCTCTGTTTCTGCTTTCTTTTGCATATTTGATTTATTCTGGTCTTCTTCAGCAGATCCGTCTTTGCTGTTTGCATTTGTATTTAATATTAGCACCAGAACCCAGTCAACTCAGTATTTTAGAATATCTTGTAATTTTGAGCACATCCTATCAGCCCCTGCCCCAACATATTAAAAAAGCACACCGGTTCTTGAAAAGAAGCCAGTGTGAACATTTGGAAAGTCTGCAGTTTGTCTCTTGGGTGTTAGTGAATGTGATTATGCACAGGTGATTGGAACGGTGGCCTAGTCAATGTCTATAGGAGGGAAGAACCCATGTACAGTTAGGATTTCCTTAACATCCTTGGAAGACAGGCTTTGCATGCATTATTTCATTTAACTCTCACAGCAAACTAATGGAGTAGATGTGCTTACCTAGATTTGGTGGATGAGAAATTTGGAGTTTAGGGGAACTAAAACACTTGCCAATGGCCTAGGGCTAGAAGGTTGTGAGTCAGGGAAAACAGGCCCAGGATGGGAAGGCAACACTGTATTAGACTCTGTATTAGATTTCACTTTACTTCTCCTAATGAGATGGAAAGCTCAAGATCTGAGAGATGGAGATGAATCAAAAGCCTTCATAGACTTTTCCCCCCTGTCAAAAGACAAAGTGACAGTACATTTAGTTTTAGGAGATCGAGTTGGCATTTACTCGTGATGTATGAATCATAACAACCTTAATTCTACAAAATAGAATAAACCCTCCAGCCAGGTAATAACCAAACAGTGGATTTTATAAAATGGAAAAAATGGGACAGTAGGAAAAAAACCACAAACTGATAGGTTTTCACTAGGTCACTTCAGGTTACTTTTTTCACTAAGAGTTAAAATAGAAGGGGCTTCCTTTCTGTGTTGACTGAGATGGACTTTGTTTGGCTTGTTTTGTTTTTACAAAAACTAGTCTATTGTAGAATTTCTCTGCCTCTTTCATGCTTCACTCTGATTATGGGGCATTTACCATGAGTGACTGTTTTGAACTGGTTAGATCTGTTTGCACCTAGTGCAGGACCTCAGTCAAAAAACAATGAATTTCCATAGATTTTTAACATGTCAAATCATCTACTTCATTTATTTATCACCATAACATCTGCTTATCACCTTTCTTCATCTATTTTGGTTGCTGTAACAAGTATGTCATAGATGGGCTTCAATATCGTTTGTTTCTCAGTTGTGGAGGCTGAGAAGTTCAAGGTCAGGATGCAAGAAAATCTGGTGTTTGGCAAGGACTCATGTCCTTGTTTGCAAATTGCTGTCCACTCTGTCCAACCCTGGCAAACAGCAGATGAGGACATGCCCTTTTGTTGTTGTTGTTTTGATTTTTGGTTTTTGAGGGTTTTTTTTTTTTTTTTTTTTTTTGAGAGTCTTGCTGTGCAGTTCAGGCTGGTCTTGCACTCCCTGTGGCCTCTTGCCTCAGTCTCTGGGACTATCATGCCCACTTTCAGGCTCTTTTTTTTATAGAAGCCTTAATCCCATCCTGAGGGCTCCACTGTCATGACCTAGTTCTTTGTGACCTCTCAAAGGCCCCACCCTGGGCCAGGGATATAACTCAATGGCATAGCGCCTGCCTGGCAAGTGCAAGATCTTCAGGTTGATACCTGATGCCAAAGGGGAGAAAAAAAGGACCCCACCTCTAAATATCATTAAGGATTAGGCTTCAGGGTAGGAATTTGAGGGGGACATATATAAAGGTTCACAGCGTTACCTTCCTGCTTCTAACCCTCTGCCTGAACGCTTGGAATCCGCCAGTATCCAAGGCCATGAACTCAGAGATTTGTTGATTGTGGGAGGAGGGAAAGTAATTTCTAGCTGACCCCTATAAGAAAACAGGCCTATCCCTTTAAAGGGAGGGGTATTGACTACTTTCATTGTTTGCTGCAGGTCAGCAATTATATATCCACAGAAAATCTAGTTCTAACCTAGTTTAACTTATATAGAATAAAAAGGGGTAGGATTCCCCCTAGACTAGTGGTCAGTGTTCCTAAATGAAGATGAGGTGTTTCTCATGTTCTTTAGTGAGGTATGTTGACCTTTCAAGAGCTGGCAGCATGTGCTTGACATCTGTGAGAAGGCCATGGAGCCAAATAAAGATGTTTCTGTAAAACAAAGAATTGGATTCAGAAGCATCTGACTCTCAGACCCAGAATAATCTGGATGAAGCACACACTTAGGAAGGATTTGAACTGCACAGAGGGTAGATGTCAGAGTGAGGCCATAACCTTAGCCTATTTAATTTCATCTCTTTCTTTGTCCTGATCCTGCTTGGGCCAAGCCCAAGTGAAATTAACCACTAGGGCTATAAAAGAGCTGTTTGCATTTAGAATCATGTGAATTGACCCCATCTGGGATATGAGAAAGTTTGGAACATCTGCAAAATGATCTTTAGATGTTGGGTGACCTGTGTAACTATATGATTGGGTGACCATAGGCTGATCTCTCTGACATCTCCTCCACACCTAGTGATGTGGGTTCAGCTATATCTCTCAGTCTCAGGTAGAGGGCATGAAAGTTTGCGGCCCTTCATGAACTTTGTACTTTGGAGAGGGTAAGTGTGGCCTCATTCCATGGCCAAGAGACCAGGCGTGAGTGTTCTTATTCCCATCAGTCAAGGTCATGTGGGTCAAGGGAATATCTTTTACCCAGATCAGTTGAAATTATGCCTATAGGTGAGAGGTGAGGGCCTATTTTGCCTAGAAGGCATTCATATCAGGGTGGGGGCCAAGTGTAATGGGGTCTCAGTGGAACATAAACAGGCAGAAGATCAGCAGAGAGAATTGAAACTACAAAAGGAAATCCTAACCTCCAAAGATGGGGCTGTTGCCCAAGGCCAAGATCACATGTTCCTAGTACATGTTTGTATGGGTCATCTGGTACTGTGTGAAGGCCTTGGGGCAGGGGTCTGCCTGGAATGTGTTGATGAGGCCTTGTGATCAGGGCCCTTGCAGGATGCACAGCTCTGGGTGATGCAGTGTCTCACAGCACACTTGTGTGCTCCTTATCCTCAAGATCACCTGTGTGAGAACTTGCTAGTCCTCTCTGGATAAGACCACATACCAAGGGAAAAGTCTGCTTATCTTGATCTTTCAATGGATTCATTGCTTTTTTCAAGTCAGATGGGTAATGTGGCAATGTTGTAACAAGATTTGAAGGAGGCATATCTCAGACAGCAGTGTGGAAACCCAGTTATACTTCTTGTGCACAAAAGAATCAGGTTTATTCTTTTATCACTCTCCTAAGTCCTTAAGATCCAGCTTTGTAAATCCCAGCTTTGAAGCCAAATCTTCCTAAATAGGCTGAAAATGAGAAATGTCAAATGGATTTGTACATAGTGATTTGAGTAAAATAATAAGCCGGTTACAAGACTGAACCCATAGGTCGTAGTTTCATTATTTTTCTTCTCTGTGACAGCACAATGGGATAACCCTTCAGGACATATTAAATTAAGTGAATTTTAATAGCTATTAGTTCTAAAGTTGAAAAGTTCACCAGGAAGAGGCTTATACCACCATCTTAGCTCTGTTCTCCCTGTTTTTTTTTTTTTTTTTTTTTTGTCTTTTTTGAGACAGGGTCTCTATGCAGTTTGGGCAGGCCTTGAGCTTACTTTGTAGTACAGGCTCTTCTCGAATTCGCAATGATCCTCCTGCCTCAGCCTCCCGAGTGCTGGGATTACAGGTGTGAGCCACCATGCCCAGCTATTCTCCCTGTTTTAAGACTTTAGCTCTTGCCAGCAGAATCAGAATCTGAATGAACAAATGAGTAAATGAATTGAGTATATATCATGCGCCAGCCTGGAAAGGAAGTAGTATCATTTTGCTTTACCAATAAGGAAATAAATAGTTGGAAGATCACATTGCTTAAGATTGTATAGCCAGTTAAGAGCAGAACCAGAGCTGGAAACTGGGTCTCTTAATCTTTGAATCGTATGTTTCTCTGCCACAGTGTTCTATTTCCTGAAATGTCCTTACCACACTTCATTGATTTTATGCACTAGTGCTATGTATTCTGATGTGCATTATCTCATAAACCTATTCTCATAGCAACTCAGTGAGACAGTCACTTATTGTATAGGTGGCATAAAACTGAAGCTGAAATATATTGTGTAACCTGCCTAGTATCACTTAGAGGGCAGTGATCTGTACCCTCCTTAAAGGGTTTAGTAATTGGAAGGGCCAGGTAAGATGGATGTCTGACTTCAGAAGGAAGTTTTTGATAACTGATGCTGTTAACCACACCAGTAGGTGTAGGCTGGTGGGCAGGAGGACAATATATAGAAAAGACATTGATCATGTCCTAACCAACTTCCCATTCCTAACAAGTTCTCTGAGCAAATTATATGCATACAGCACAACGGACAGTAAGCAGACACTTTTATTACTAATTGTCTTAGTCTGTTTAGGCTGCTTTAACAAAACACCAATAAAGAGGGTGGTTTGTAAACAGCATAAATAAATTGCTTATAGTTCTGGAAGCTAGGAAGTCCAAAATCAAGGTGCCAGCATTTGGTGTCTACTGTGGGACCATTTTGATTCATGGGTGGTGCCTTCTTGCTGTGTCTTCAGATGATAGATGGAGTAAGGCAGATCTCTGAGCCTTTTTTAATAGGGACACTGATCCCATGCATGAGGACACAGACTGCATGATTTAATCACCTCCCAAAGGCCTCACTTCCTAAAACCATTACATCAGGTGTCAGAATATAAACATAGGAATTTTCAGGGGACACAAGAAAGCCACAGAAGAAACCAAAATAAATACCTGTTATAGTATAGTACAGATCAAAGCTGGCAGGGCAGAGATTTCCTTTTGCTTAGGATGCTGTCAAGAGGGGTTCTGTGCCACAGTAAAGGGGTCTCACTAAGGGCTAGAGCAAGGCTGTTTAGCTCCTTGGGAGAGAAAGCCAGCAAGAGAAAGGAGGGTCTGATCTTCCTGTCTAGAGGAAGAAACCAGTAGTTTCCCATTCTATCTTCCCAGAAAGATGATTTCCAAACATGTTAACCATCCTCATGATTGGTAACTGAATACATGACAGAGATATTCTCAACTAAAGTGTTCCTGATCAGTTTGCATATTAGTCTGCATAATTAGCATTCTTATACATGATGGTATGCTTTAGGATTCAGCCTTGCCTCAGTCTTTGGTTGCTATGGTAATAATCACATGGTATCAAATGACGGAGGTGCACTTTTCTTTAATGCAGGCTTGGTTTAGAAAGAGGGGCAACAGCTAAAGAAGCCTTAGATGTCCTCATCTCCTTGTTGGAAGAATATGGACAAGGTGGGAATTATTATGAAGATGCCAGCTCCTGCCATAGCTTCCAAAGTGCATACCTGATAGTGGATCGTGAAGAAGCCTGGGTACTTGAGACTGTAGGGAAGTACTGGGCTGCTGAGAAAATCACAGGTGAGTGCAGATTGAAGAGTTCTGAGTGCATCCTTTTGTAAGGATGAAATTCAGCTGGACACAAGGCACCAGACCCAGACTTATACCGATGTGCTGACTCTGTCTGTGCTGTCTGTCCATGCTCAGGCACATTTCTTACTTGTGGATGTCTGTCCAGATGTGAACAGGGTCTCCAAATTCAGAATGAAGGAATGTTGACCTTGGGGAACGACACTGTTAACATTTCATATTTTCTGTTTGCTTCCTGGGAAGGACTCAGCTCTGATTACCAGCAGCTCCATGAGTCAGACCATTGCTCTGTTAGTTGACCAAGGAAATGATGAATCTTCAGTCATACTGTTATGAATCCCTTCAACAGGGAGTTGTCTCTTGTCACCCTCCAGCCCTGTGGCTCTTTGAGATTGGACTCTTCCTTTAAAGTAGGAGTCTGTACCTGTACGGAGCACTGTTGAATGCCTTGCTGGGCCAAGCAGGCCATTTCTCTGTGAGATAATATTCCCAGAAAAGCAGAGAACTTCCATATCCACACAGGATTTAGTGCCCATAGCACTGCTGTGCAGCATTCCACTTTGGACACAGCACAGGGAAGAAAATATCAGAGCTGAGCATGGTTGTCTCAGTGCATCACTTCAGCACCCTCAGATTATAGGTAGAATGGGATCTCAGAACAGGAAAAGGGCATCAAAGAAGACTAAATAGGTATAAAAGAGAATCGGCCTGTGATACTCCTATTACATTCCTTAGCACAGGATGTTACATACATGACATGTGCTGAAGTTTCCCCTCATATCTGGCAGACATGGCTGGTAGATCACTACATCCTTCTCTTGTTGAACCTATACTTGGCCTGTGTTATACATGCAATCCTTTCCTATTAATCAGAAGAGTCAAACGTATTCGCTATCCCTGCCTTACGGGTGTTGGAACCAAATTTGACTTGAGTTAGAAGTAGATCTGGTGCATTCATTGGGAGTCACACCTGTTGTCTGTTTACAAAGCTCAGTGATCAGATTAAACGCTATGCAAAGTTGTGTCTCTGAGATAGAGAAGTTGACTGTGATTTCTTGGCCCAGCTGTGTGAGGCTGTGTCTGCTTGGAGGAAGGAGTGGCACAAGAGTGTCAAATGAGTTAGTGGTGCCATCAGCAGCCACAGGAAGTTTTTCCGTCCTTGTTTGCCCAGAGTCTTGTCTTGTGGTGATTATACAACAGAGGCAGCAAACTTAAAACTCATTTATACAAAGCCCTCCTAAGATGAAATCTTACTACCAAATGGCAATCAGGAAGGTTTGTGGGCCATGCTTCAAAGCACTCAGATTGCTTTTAAGTAGAATCTAAGACTTTTTGATCTATAACTGCATTTCAAAAGCTGAGCTTCCCTTCACCATAATAGTTTAAAAAAAATCTATCTCCACAAAATGAATTTTGTCTTTCACTAAACATTTAAGTAAAAAAAGCCAGCTGTTTCTTGGACTCATCGATTTTATGTCTTCTGTTCCCTCAGCCCATGTGATTGATGGCAGAAAGGTTTAATGTACTCTGTCCTCTAAATGCTGATTCTTGAAAGCAAATGTCTACCATAAATCAGCCTTCAAATAAAATAACATCTGTGGAGTTGTTTACATAAGCTTTTCTTTTTCTTTTTTATTGGCTTAGTATGAATAGTTTAAAAAATTGCTTGATTAGGCCAAAACTATTTTTTAATTGTTTATAGTTTTAATTTCGTAGTGTTCTCTGAGGAAATGAACAGCAAAGGACCATGCTTATGAGCCAGAAGTGCTTATTTTAGCAGTGTAAATCATAGAACAAAACATCCTGGGAGAACTCAGTCTAGCACTGTTCCTGCCTCTAGGGACTAGGCTGCTGGCAGGAAAGGCTTATTGTACTTTATAGCTTGAGCTCTGTTTCTCACTTTATTCTCCATGAAGCTGGAAGGTCTCAACTTGTTCCCTTGGAGCATCAGATGTGGATGGCCTTTTGGGAATGGCACTGCTAAGGCACTCTTAGCATTCTGGACAGCATCTTGAATTTTGAAGGTCAAATCATCCTCTGTATCTAAGCTCATGTTTTGCGGAACATGTGTTTTGAAGAAGCCTGCTAATGAGGCAGGCTTACCCCATGTTCTGTTCTAGCTCTATCATCAAAGCAGGGCATACCCAGAATGTAGACATTTCTGATTCTAGATCTCTTTATCTGTACTTTTTTTTTTTGGTACTGGGGATCAAATTCACGACCTTGCACTTGCCACGCAGGTACTTATGCCACTGAGCTAAATCCCCAGCCCTGTACTTTTGTTTTTATGGGAAAAAAATCCTCATATATTTTTCACACACACCCAGACACACACCGGCAAGTACTGTTATTTTCAAGTGATGCATTCTCATTGCCACTATGTATTTCTAAATATTGAGAACTGAAAAAAGCTGAATGAAGAAGCAGAAGCATCTGATTATTATTATTTTTTTTTTTTAGAAAATCATGTATATTTGGGCAACAAATGGTATAAAATGCGCTCCCAGGTGTAAAGGAGTTAAGGTGGGAACAAGGACTGTGTAGATGCTGTAGAGCAGTTCCGTGCAGGAGCCTCTTACAGATTCCTAAATCCTATCAGTGGAGCATCTCTTTCAAGGAACCTTTCCCTTTTCTTTTAGGTATTGCATGTTTGGGGTTTATCTAGGTAGAATGAAGAGCCTCTCATATCTCCTTTTGATTGTGAAGTCATGTTCAGTAATATTGTTGCTCATTTAAAATGTAAAAATATCTCATTGAGGCTGCTCAAACCTTTTAAGAGGTCTGTTGGAAAGAGGTCCAAGCATTGTGTTTCTTTCATCAAAAACTGAGCTGATTCTTTCCTGTAATGTCAGGGTTTCAAGGGAAGGAATCTCTCTAAATTTCCATTTCTTCAAGTCTCTGTACATGTATTTCCCACTAATGTGGCTTTGTACTGTCTACAGAGGGAGTGAAGTGCATTTGCAATCAACTTTCACTCACCACTAAGATGGATGCGGAGCATCCTGAACTCAGAACCTACGCTCAGAGTCAAGGCTGGTGGACGGGAGAAGACGAGTTCAACTTTTCCCAGGTGTTTTCTCCAGCTGATGACCATCTGGACTGCTGTGCAGGCAGAGAGAGCTTGGAAAAGCACGAAGGTAGTTTGACCCTTACGATTTTCCTTCTCATACCTGTGGCTTATGAAAATTCCAGAAAACTGAATTTAGGAGGGTGAACGAAAGGAGGAGTAGAGAATAGACTGTATGTACTACTCAACTTGCACCAAAAGTCCCTGGTGTGCTGGCAGGAGGGAAACTAGTGCTTATTTTTATGCAGTGCTTCCCCATCCATGGAGGTTTCTCGTCTCTCTTGATGCCGTTTCCCCTGTAATCATCCATGTTGTGTTGTCTTTTGTGGTACGTATGCAGCCTCCTCAGAGCGCAGTATTGATATTGTTGATTTAGTTTGTTCCAATGTTTTTTTCTTGCCCGTTATTACTATCTTCCTGGCCCTTAACAGCAGATGTGTTATCTTTTGCTTATCTGTGGTTCCTTTTATGATCCTGGCACGGTCCTTTGTTCCATGAATGTTTGTTGAGTTGAATTGCTGTGTTCTCTTTACAAACATTCTATCTGCCGTTACTGACTTAAAATCAGAATCCACATTTAAGTAAATGAATTGGCTAGATGCCTTCTTACTTTTGTACCTGAGTAGAAGCACTTCCAAAAATCTCACAGTGGTCACATTTTATGTTTGCTAGTTGTCCATATTTAGTAAATCAAACTTTTGACCATGTAGAACTGGTGTCAGCAGACTATGTCCTGCAGCAGATGTATATTTTGTGAACATGATTTAATTGGAAAATAGCCACACTGTTAGTCAGCTTTGTGTCACTGTGACAAAATATTTGACATAAGCAACTTATAAGGAAAAAGGGTTTATTTTGGCTCATGATTTCAGAGGTTTCAGGTTATGGTAAGGTTCAGGTTCATTGTTGTTGGTTTGAGGCAAGGCAGGGAACACATGGTAAGGAAACTGCTCATCTCATGATAGGAAGAAGGAGGTGGAGGGTGGGGAGAAGAGGACAGGGAGAGCACTGCTGTCCCGGTATCTCTTTTAAGGACATGCACCCATTGATCTGAATTCTTCCCACTGGGGTGCACCTCCTGAAGGCTCCACCTCCTCCCAGTAGAGCGACAGGCTGGTGACCAGGCCTTTAACATGTGAGCCTTTGGGAACATTCAGGATCCAAACTATGGCTCCCTTTTATTTATGTATTATTTATGGCTGCTTCAAGCTATAATGGCAAGTCGAGCAGTTGCAACAGGCAAGTTGTAACGGAAACAATATGGCCCACAAACCCAAAATATTTCCTGTCTGGTTCTTTAAGAACAAGTTTCCTGGTCCTTAATCTAGAAGAATATGTTAGTACTTTTGCTGTAGAACTTCAATAATATATCCTGGTTGGGAGGGTAAGACAGTTTTCATTTTTAAATGGGAACTTTAAAAAAGCTAAAAGTTTTTAATTAAAAAAATCTAGCTTGATAAAGGATAGTCTTGTCAAAATATCAGTCTAAAATCTGATAATGGTTTTGAATCTAGCTACAAATTTATAGGAAATACAGCAGATAGAAGAACATACAGAATAACACAAGGCAGAGAGCAGCTGTAGAATCCAGACTATGCAGAATACTATAGGAAGGATGACCCAAGTTTTCTGATAGATGAGATACTGGGGTAGTGGGGGACAGAGATGAAAAGATTTTGGTGACATTACTGAACTGTAGGATTTTGATTCACATGAATACAGGAGAGCTGGGGATATAATGTAATGGAAGAAGAAACTGAAAGAGTAAATAAGATCCAAAGTGTATAATAAAGTTGTAAAATGTGAAGAAACTGTTCAACAGTGAAGAGAAACTGGGATAGGGGAAAGGAGAAAAGAAGGAAGGGAAAAACAACAAAACAGAACAGAATATATAAGGTAGTTACAATAGTTATACTACTAATTTCTCTTAGTTCATTGAAAAGAAAGGTTTGTTCTAATACTGTTTGGACCATTAAATGCCTATATCTTATACTCTGAGTAACTAATTTAAAGATAACAGTATGCAATGTATTAACCATTGTTACTCTACTATTACCTTGCTTTGAATTTTCTTCTCTTTAAAATAAAAAATAAATAAATAAAAGTAATACAATGGTAGAGGACATGTTGAGCATGTATGAGACCCCCAATGTCAATTTCCCGCTCCACAAAGCAATAACAGCAGCCAACCTAAATCAGTATACAGGTTTATGAGACACTGAGGAAATATGAACACTGAATAGTTGGAGAAAAAAGATTTGTAATGTATTTAGACGTGGCATGTCATAAATAGAGATTTACAAGCAGAATACATGGTATTAGCAACCTACTTCCTATGTGATGCTTTGATTCCATCTGTGGATCACAAACTAAATATTTTAATGAACTATAACAAGAGGGGAACATATGGAAATGAAATGCTATGTGTTAAAGCACCCATGCATCTGTAGTAGTCTTAATGGCTAATCAGTCTTTTTTGTTTCCTTTTTTTTTTTTTTTTTTGGTGCTGGAGATTGAACTCACGACCTTGCACTTGGGAGCCAGGCACTTATGCCACTGAGCTAAATCCCCGGCCCTGTAATAGTCCTAATGGCTCTGAATCTTCTAAATGCCTCTATATGTGCATTGTTTATTGCAGAGAGGTCATTTTTCCAAACAGAGAGTGGACTCCAACCAGCGAGGGAGGTGGGGAGAGTGTCTAGATTGCACACTTCCTTATAGATATTTGTTGAGTTATTGCACTAGTTGACTTATGGTCATGTGCCATTATAAAAAAGATTACAAATTAATGTGGCTTAAAAAAGATGGAAATTATTCTTTTCCATGTTATAGTCCAGATACATATGGACAGTCCAGGGCTGTGGGTTACTCTGGTCTGTACAAGTCTTCCATTTGGTCTTCCCCATGGCAGGATAGGGAAAAGAAAAGTGATGGCTAAAGATGTAGTTGTAACCAGGGATTTATACGCTTCATTTCTGCTACCCTCTCATTTGTCAAAACTTACCACATGGCCAAAACTAGGCACAAGGGAAGCTGGGAAATGTATTCTGTAACTGAATAGTTATGCTCCTAGCTGTAATTACAGGTGGCTTATTAGTAAAAGGAGAAAGAAGTGGATAAATTTGAGTTAGCAGTCTGCCATATCCTTTTTCCATCTCTCTCTCTCTCCTTTTTCAGAAAGCATCACTGTGCAGACCATGATTAACATCTTACGGGACAAAGCCAGTGGAATCTGCATAGACTCTGAATCTTTCCTCACCACAGCCAGTATAGTGTCTGTCCTGCCTCAGAACAGGAGCTCTCCGTGCATTCACTACTTCACTGGGACCCCAGATCCTTCCAGGTTCGTCTGAGACATAGTCTCAGAGGCAGAAAGCATGCCTCACCTTTGAGAACTCATTCAACAAGCTTGAATTAAGTTCCTGGCCATGCCCTTTCCTTTGATAGTGAAGTCACATTTTTCAGCCCACCTCAGCAAGGGGCAGTACAGCACAAAGAGCTGTGATCAGGTGAAGTGTTGTAACTCTATCCAATTTGATTAGCTGAAGTGGCTATTGTCACATGGTATTCATCACAATCACCAAATGACATGATTCTTTTTAAGTTCATCAAATAGTTAATGAGAATATACATACCATGGGCCAAGCATTATGCTATCAATGTGGGATACGCAGATGAACAAAACACAGTGAGAGAGATGCAGAGACCCCCAAATTTGTCAGAAAAACCAGTTCCTCTAAGTCACTGAACAAAATGGCTCAAAGCCATTGCAAGTCGAGGCAACTTCAAGCATGCTGGCCACTTTTGAAGACATTTTTGTTTTAGGGAGCTGCTTTCTGTTCACATACTGCCAGAAAGAGTCAGTACTGTAGTTGCTAGGAACACAGCCTCTAGAATGAATGGTAGGACTCTGAGTCCATCTTGGTTATCTTGTAGCTGGATAAGTTACTTAACTTTGCTAAGCTTTGGTTACTATAACTGTGCAGGGACCACTTTTTGTAACTGCCCCCCACCCCCCCGCCTTTTGATAGACTTGTTAGGAGGAACAAATGAAGGATTCCAAGTTTGGACTTAGTAGGAAGTCCTTTTAATTGCTATTTGTGAAGATGATCTCTGATCTGCCATTCAGATAGCAGCCCCTCTCCAGTAATGTCGTGTGTGTCACAGGTCACATCATCAGTAGTCTAGAACCATCCATTCAGTGCTTTCTAAATGTGTTCATTATTAGAATTATTTGGTGCATGTGGGGGGGGGGCAGAAAAATAAAGGTGCCTTGACCTAAAGCTACTGTGTCGGAAGCTTCAAAGTGGACCTTGAACTCTGTAAGGTAAGTCTGATCCTCAGCATGAAAAGCTCTGCAAGACTGCCTGTTCCATAGGTTCTCTGGAGTACTTCAGGCACTCTGTTGGGCAAAAACTTATCATTATTTAATGTCGGTTAAACTTTTGAATCTGCTGCCAAAGAATCTGCTACTATTAAAGCTCATTCCTTTTACAGCTGAAAATGTTCATCCTCTGTTACTGTTTCAGGAATATGAGATAAGGATGTGTCTAGCTAGGGGGAACGTTCCCCTCCATCCTCTCTCCATCTTGAATGACTCAGGGGAAAAGTCAAACATTTTTCCTGGCCCTTTGGCCTCATTTTTATAATTATTGCCAGTATCCGTAGACCATCTAATCAGATCTGACTGTTGAACATAATATAAATTATTCTTAGTTTTTCATTCACTCAACCAATACTTATTAAGCACTTGTTGCATAGCAAATGTGTGTCTTGAATATCAGGGATGAGGTGTGAACAAGGAAGAAGTTGCACAGATGACATGATAAAAGGCAGAATGACATCAAGGAAGAACTCTGAGGGGAACTCTAAGAAATGCCAAGGACACATTGTGGGAAGAGTGGAAATTTAATAGGTTCAAAAAGCAAGAATAACTTTCTGGGCAGAGAGACTAGCACGTGCAGTGGCACAGGACGATGGAAGAGCATGGCACAGTTACTAGGTTTCCATCTGCTTCGCTCCCTGGGCCTCCATTACACAAGCCCACCCACACTCCTGGGTTCCTTTAACAGTGAGCCTCAGCCACTCAGAGGGCAGTACTCTCTGAGCCTCCCTGAATGTGCCTCCTTCCTAAATCCAGATCCTTTTCCACAATTCATCTCTCAGTTCTGAACCCCTTCTTTCATGGTCCCACCTTCCACCCACATTTTGGTCCACAGATTTGGGGATTCTCTTTCCCTGGGATCTGGACTCCTCTCCTGATGGATGGTGCCTTAGCTTGCTCCCCTAATGCTGGTGGCTCAGCAGCCTCTTGTGAGGACCCTACTGGCCTTTTAGGGGCACGTATGGGTGTTTAGAGGTTTAGTCTGAAGCACCTAGACTGTTCAGTGAAGGTATTTGGACGTTATTCTTTAGGAAGCTGGAGCCTTTCAAGGAGTGGGTTGGACCAAAGCACCCCTCATTGTCCTGCTGTCACTTCAGTAAGGAGACAGGCTTTGTGATGCCAGGACATGAATGTGGGGGAATTTCATTTCTCAGGCTGAAGTACATGGCTTAATCCAATTATAAAAGTGGGTTGCAGAATAACCTTCTGATATTTAAAATGGAAAATCTCAAGTAATTTTAAAAGACAATTATTCATGGTTAAATTAATCGAAAAGACCTTGTAGAAGATTAAGGCCTTTCCGGAAGACATTCATTTTTATCTTCCCTAGTTAAATGGGCTGTGTCTCCCACCATGACTGTAGAACTGTCATAGGTTATTTTTTTTTTTTTTTTGGTCTTATTCAACATTTCAGTGTTTCTCTGTAATTGGGCATGTTCAACATTTTGTATTTTGCCAGCAGGAAACATAATTACCTACTCAGGTTGTTAGGTAGCACAATTAAGATCTTAGTTGGCTTCTGTGAATGCTAATAATATTAAAGAGACATTTTCAGGAGATTGTTTTAGAGCAGTGAACTTGCAAATGACTAGACCCAAGAGCAGGACTATATTACAGTATTTATCTCTTCCAGTCAATGTGAGAACCAAAGGACACAATCTCACTACTGTACTGTTAGCTCGGGCACCTCTCTGTTCCTTGCTCACTGCACTGATTATAGACCCTTTTCTTGAAAACACCTCTCACATTCACTTTATCCATTTGTTCTTTCCTCCCTCCACCCTACTGTGTGCGAGGCACCAAGCACCTGATGGAAGGAGATGTGCAAGCCCTTCCATTGATTCCACTGGGTCAATGTGCTGTTGAGTGAGCTGGACTTCAGTTATTCATAAAGTCACACTAATTGGCTTTGGTGCAGTGAAGCTTTCACAAGCTGAAACTTGTTAAAGCTTCATGATATGAGGAACTGGGATAGAAATAGAATCTTTTGAGTGTACGAGAGCCAAGCAAAGCTGATCATATGCATGTCTGCCCAGCTCTGTGTTCCCTGATGCCATTGGTAGCTTAAAACAGGCCCGTGAGGAAGTATTTACACCAGTAATAGTAAGCAGACTGGGCTTACTTTTTTCAGAGATGGATTTCTTAGACTAGCAAAGCACAGAAAGATTCTTGCATATAGGAAAGTGCACAAATACTCAAGATATAGAATGGTAAAATACAATGGGGGAGAGAGTTCTAGGAAAATAGGATGTTGGACCTACTGTATGGCAGCTACAGGTGGTATGTTTGTGGCTGGAGACAATGTACTGAGGCGGCACCATAACTTATGCAGCCTTTGGAGCCACGGAGGGCAGAGCCTGCACAGATACGAAGAGCTGAGGACCCCAGGCAGAATGGCACTGTCCACTCCAATTGCATTCTGAACTCTTCAGGTACTATGTCTCCTTTCTGTTTTGACTTTCTAAGTCTTCCTGCGAACCTGGGCCTAGCACACCATCCTTAAGATGCCCTGTGCTCCCAAAGTATTAGTTCTCTTTCCCTCTAAAATTGAAATGCTCTTCAGAGTTTGACTCTACTCTCAAGTCATGTGTGGCTTTTATAATAACACTAAAGTGACATATTGTGGCAATGAAGCTACAGTGATCCACAGATGGATTATTCAGAGGGATAGTTACATTTTGAGAGAAACTGGTTATTTCAGATTCTTTGGAGATTGGTTCTGAATTTGGCAGATTCATCAAAGCGCAAGTCTCTGTGCTGTTCCTTTCTGTACCTAATGTCCTTCAGTGGATTCTCCGGGTCACAAGATCAGCTTGGTTTAATTGCTTAGGGAATGCCCACCTCTTCAGCAAGATCAGAGCCCTATCTGAGGTCAGAACTCCTAACGAACTTGCAAGTCCCAAAGCACAAAAAGTTAGTATGAAGATGGTGATTGTGCAATAGCACAGTGTGCATGAAACAACAATAGAAGGATGTAAGAGTGGGAGGCCATGGGAAAAACTGACTTTGGACTCAGGAGATCTGCGTTTAGTTCTCCACCCACCAGTTGTGAGGAATGTGACTCTGGACAAAACATGTAGCTTCTGTGAGCCTCAGTCATCTCATCTGTAAAACAAAACAGCATGCTCAGTGCTTTGTCCCTGGTACCTGGAACAGTGCCTGACACCTAATCAGAGCTCAACACATAATTACTGAATGATTACATGAATGGTCAGAGCCATAAGAAACAACACAAAGTGGGCTATGGTATAAAATGCTAGAGGTTTTCATAATATTTTGCTGTTCTTTCAAAATGAGAAAAGATGATGGGAAAATATATTATTTTATAGTTTGGTAAACTTATTGCAAGGTTTTAGAAAGAAGTAAGGACAGATAAGTCCTTTTGATAATGGAGAGGAGGGAAGGGCCCTGGGAGGGCCCAGCATGCTGTGTGCTCCCCAGCAGATAGGGCTGGGGAGGGGCTCATCTCCCATATACATGGTATGTGTGGGATTCACCTGCAGAGGACGGCAGAGTCCCTGACACTTGGCCTTGGCTAGTTCCTTCCACTCCACCAGCTTGGGAAGTGAAGCCTTGGACATTCAGGTTCAGTTAGTCTAGCTTCTTTGTCGCATGTTGTGACCATTGTCTTCCTTCGCTTGAGCCCTGTTTCCCATGGTCACTGCAGGAAACTAGCCAAGAGGCTCCTCCTCTTACCCATGGGCTTCGCAGTGCCTCAGACTTGGACCTTGTGTTCTGTTGGGATCTTGCTGAGCTGCACATCATGCTCCAGCTTCTGCAGTGGTGCTGTTGCTGCGAGTCCAAGGACAGGACTTGGGAGGCGAGGGTATCTGGTTCCTTATCCTTTTCAGATCTTGAAATGTTTGTGTTCAGATCACAGATAATGTTTGTGTGGCACACTGGTGAGGCTGCTCTGGCTGCCCCAGCCCCCACCTACCTGAGGGCTGAGAGTCAACATTGCAGCTCATTTCTGACCCACTTGAGGGTCCCTGGAGTGGGCCATGGTATGCCCACTTCAAAGAGAAAAAATATCCAAATCTGACAAACTGATCTTTACTGTGATCTTTACTGAGAATACCTATCTCCTCTGGGGGCTCTGGGATCCTTTGAGGTCTTCTGCCTTAGCATGCCCTATCTTTGAGTTTGTGAGAAATATTGTAAAGATTTTTTTTTTTTTGTAGAACAGAACCTCAAAAACAGAAACAAAAGCTCCTTATCCTGGAGAAGAATCAGGCCTCTTTACCTCAAATCAGTGGTCCATTACACCCATTCCGTGAACACTACACGTCTGTTTGCCTAATGTTGTAGAATTTAAAAGGGGTTCTCAAATGGTGCATCCTGAACAGAGAGAGAGTCTGTTTTGGTGGTTCCTTGCTGTAAATAGAAGCCCATAAAGCTTATAAACAGCCATTAGTTTGACTGAAATAGCTAACACACGCAGTGTGATTATCTTGGCATATACCTACCACTGCTCACCACCCACCTTCACTAGAGGTTGGCTTAGAGGATATTCGTTGAGTAAAAGGATAATCTCAGAGTGTTCTCAGACTCCAAGTTCAGTCTATCCTAAATGGCTGTCTTTTCTTTCCAGGTCCATATTCAAGCCTTTCATCTTTGTCGACGATGTAAAACTTGTCCCCAAAGCACAGTCCCCCTGTTTTGGGGACGATGACCCTGCCAAAAAAGAGCCTCGATTCCAGGAGAAACCAGACCGTCGGCATGAGCTGTACAAGGCCCATGAGTGGGCACGGGCTGTCATTGAAAGTGACCAGGTAAGCCTGGGTAGGGGCCTTTGTTGGGTGGCGAGATCAGAGAGAAAGGAGGTGGGAGACAGAGATCAGAGAGGGCGGGGAAGTGGCCAGCAAGCTCCTCTCCTTCCTCTCCAGCTTGAGCAGTCTCCTCCCAGAAAGCCAGGTTCCCCAGGCTCTTCCCAGAATGCTGCTGTCAGTCCTCCTACCCACTCCTGCAGCCAACTCAGGCAAAACCTACTTTTGATCTGATTCTGGAATTCAGTAGGCTAAGAGTATCTCTCATTTACTGGCAATATAGGAGTTCTGAGGTGCTCAGTGTAATGTGCTGCCTAAAATTCTTTGCCTACTTTTGAAGGTAAAGAGGTATACTGAATAGTACTGCTTTATTTAAAGACTCAATCGTATGTTGCTTCAAATAAGCAGTTCTCCAAAAATATTCTGGAGATGGATTATGGTGATGGCCACACAACAGTGTGAATGTGCTAAATGCTACTGAGCTATATATTGAAAAAAATGGTTAAAATGGTAAATTTTGTGATATACACATATATATGTAATGATATGAAATAGTTTTAAAAAGATTCTCAAGTTCCCAGTATTTCTTTTTAAGTAATTCTTCCAAGTGCTCCTCCCACCTTCAAAACTTTGCCTAATAAAGCTAAAAGAAAGCAATTCAAATATGAAAAATACCGTATATGTTCCCTTAGCACTTAATCAGTGCCCAGAGAAGTGAGGAATTTTCAGTTAAAATCCAAGCCTTTATTTTGCCAGGAAGGAGCAAGGAACATAGTTGTCTGAATTCATCTGTGGTCTCAGCTTTTAATTGGTCTCATTTGTCCTGAAGATAAATTGGTGCATATATTTTTGTGGCCTTGGCAAGCCTATTGTCTTACATTTGGCACAATGGACTGAAATCCAGATGAATTTAGAGAATGAGTTCCTGCAGTCGAGTGTGGATCAAGATGGAGGGGGCGGCTGGGCCGCGGGAAGGAAGCCAGCACGACCCCTAGTGCTGTGTGTCCACTACCACGACTATTTTGCTGACTTGTGAAGTGGCCGTGTCCTTCCTCAGGAGCAGGGCCGCACACTGAGGAAGACCATGTTGGAGCTGGAGAAGCAAGGCCTGGAGGCCATGGAGGAAATCCTGAGCAGCCCTGATCCACCAGATCCTGCTGAGGTCGGGGACCTTTTCTATGACTGCGTCGACACGGAGATTAAGTTCTTTAAGTGAAATAAGCATTCCTTTCCCCCTTCTTATTTAAAACTTCCCACCTGACTAAATTACCAGCAAAACAAACCACTCTCCTGTTTGAGTCAAATGAGAAATTTACAATGTGGCCTCTTTTTCTGAAGCCAGATCCAACTGTTACCTTGTGTCTCTAAACGTCCCCTTCTTTGCTATAGCTCCCCTTCCTTCGCTATGTAATGTGTATCCCCTTTCCCTGGTATTCGGTTGTGTGATGAATTGTGCATTTGAAGCTGCTAGTCTTTTATTTCAGTGACAGTGGACACATGAGCCTCTCCTGGGAGAGCTGGAGTGCATTGGGCTTGAGAGGCAGGCTCACGGTGCTGAGCTAGCGGGAAAAGCAAGCTCTTTGAAGTCTCAGTCGTTCAGTACGAGTGTCTTCCAGGTTAACAAAAGGCATTTGTCTCTACACAGGCTCCTGTGTGTGGAGTCAAGGGACAACCGCTCCCCTTCCCTTGAGTCTATGGCTGTGTTCAGTATAGTCTCTACAGGTGTCTCCTGGGGACTGGCGAATGGGAAGGAATCAGAGGGATCCTCGTCAGGCCCAGCTCCATCCCAGCGCCCATGACCCTGAAGGACGTATCTTCTGTGTGTTTGATCCAGATCTGTTTCCACAGGCAGATCTGCGCATGTGTGTTACTTGGAACCCTCGGGGCTTAGAGATCCCAGGACACCATGCAGGTGATCTCTTGAATTCCTGCATGGCTCTCCTGAAAGGTACAGCTGCTATGCCCTCATGGCAATGCACCTGCCCCATGAATGCAGCTTTGGGTGGAAATGATCCCAGTCTAGTTGCTAACATCTAGTCCAGGATTCATTAAATGATCCTGTGGGAGAATTCTATCCCATAGAGCTGTGGCTCTCTCAGCTAATGAAGGAAAGGAAAGGAGAAACTCTTGACTGTTTAGATTGTGGTTACACTAGCTGGAAGCTGAGCAGCCACTACTTTATCTCAGCAGAGAGACTACTTAAACTAATTTGTTCCCAATGTTGTGTTCGCCACCAGAACATAGAAAAACACGCAAGGGGGGCTGGGGATTTAGCTCAGCGGCATAAACGCCTGGCTTGCAAGTAGGCAGTCGTGAGTTTGATCCCCGGTACCGATTAAAAGGAAAAAGACAAAAAAAAAAAAAAAAAAAAAAGAAAGAAAGAAAGAAAGAAAGAAAGAAAGAAAGAAAGAAAGAAAGAAAAACACGCAAGGAAGACCAGGTGGGCTCTGGGAGGACACAGGGCCACTTGGTGAAAGATGGATGCAGAAACATTTCTGCTGGTAAAGAGTCCAGCCATGTCCCTCCTAAGCAGCCTGTTGGATCCCATGAATTAGTATGAATCCCATGAATTAGTATATGAAACAGCTTGCTCATGGGTCTTGTCCCTTAGTCTCTGGGCCCTCAATTGCTATCTGAGGTGGGTAGAAGGTGGAGAGGGCTGAGCGCCACTGAAATGTTCAACTATTCGGAATGGCTAGGAGCCTAGATAACAGAGCAGCCAGTGAGAGAATGCCTTTTGGGCCTAACTATGCTTTACCATCCTCAACAGGAATCTGAAAACAAAAATATTGTGAGTTTCTGTAGTTTTAGAAATGGCTTAGGGTGGGTAATTCCTTTCCAGCAGCAGAATCCTGGATGATGAGGGCTGAAAGGGGCCCTACCCTTTATCATATGGGTGTGAACACTCAGGAGCAGAGGTTTTTATTGGAAGAAACCTTTTTTTTCCTACTTTTGCTCAGGTGTTTGGTAAATTCAGTATGTAAAACTTCTACCTACCCATAGTGAGATGGGAGGAGAATTTTAGGAGAAAAAGCTAATGGCTGCAGATTAGGGTGCCTTGTAATTGTAGTGTCTGCAGCTGCTAACGAAGGAAGGATGAAGCCTAAGGGTAATTGGTACCCATTCACTCCCAAGTCCACCTGACGGGGGGTTATGTAAAAATGAGACCATGCAGAAAGCCATCCTGTGATTCCATAGCATGGTCTCACCCTCCCTGTTAGGAAACGTTTCCCTACCCAACATGTCTGTGGCTGCCAAGGTGATTCCAGGGGTCTAGTGAGAGTAAATTGCACAGAGGCCACCTTTCATTGTTGAGCCAAGTCACAGACTGCTCTGCCAGCTTGACGTTATTACCCAGTTGTTCAGTGGGGAGCACAGTGACTACTTGTGTTAGGAGGCACTGACCTCAATCAAACATCGCAGAGAAGGCCCAATGCTACTTGAGTGACCTCACTGTGCATCAAACCGTGAGGTCCCTCTGTCACCACTAGAGGGCATGGCAGCCCTCTGTGGCATAGCCTGGCAAAGCCTGGCAGGAAATGAAGGTAGTACCATCAAAACCCAAATAATAGCAGTGGATGGGTTCTTTATGCATCGGGATGGTTAAGGAAACACGTAAAGAGAGTAAGGACTACTTGATGTGATGTACTCACTTTTTAGTGACCTTTATCTTTAAATTAACAGCTGGAAATGCTTTGTTGGACTTGGAGTAGGTTGTTGTAGGGGAATGGTTTATTTTGAAATGCTCCTAACAGATAATGATTTGGAAAAATGCTCATTACAGATAATTTCTTCACAAGGGATTGCTTTTCTGAAGGCAATACAGGAAATGAATATACAGGATGAAATATGACAATGTCTAAAGGTCACTGTATGTAAATAGCTTCCTAGAATACCATTTGTGTATCTATCAAGACAGGAGGGCACTTGTGCATGCTTTGTGCAGAGAGAAATCATGGCCATAAATGACAAAATCTCTCTCCCTCTTTTCCCCTGTGACCTAACACAAGCTAGTTAGTCTCGTCTAGTAAATGAGATTCACTGTAGGTGAAGACAGCCCTTAGACTCAGGGCAGACATCAGTGAAAGTAAATTAGCAAAGTAAAAATAGAACCCTTTCATTCTTGGAGGTGACCTGAACCTTTATGTAGAATAAAGATATAATCAATATTATGGAGATTCTAGTGCTCAATAATGTAAGATCCAGTGTTATTATTAGGAATCTACCTTACAAGCTAACGGAGCAGGTATGTTAGATCGTAGCCATGAAGTTCCCTTCTATTGGGTGAATCTGTAGATATAAAGTATAATTATTGACCAGACAAATAACTTTGTATCCTGACTGACATCATCTTACATTAGTACAGGTGACACATGTGTGGTCGACCCAGCAAGGAAGCCAGGTAGGACCAGTATGTCAGTCATGACACCTCTTGCATCCTTGCTTGGAGAACCATGTGTCTTTTATCTGAAAGGTCTTCATCTGAGCTTTCAGCTTTAGGAAGGAAACACAGGGAGGAGTAGGGAGGGAACCTAGTTCTCTGGCCACTTGTACGTGCAGGGGAGGCATGGCAGGTGATATGCCCAGTTGTCCTAGCACAACCTTATGCTTCCTGTAGCAGTGGCATTTCATTCCACCCAGTCCAGAATCCCTGCTCCCCTCCTATGGCGTGTGACAAAATGTGCTTTGTCTGACCGATGCCAAACACCCCAAAATGTCATCTGCAGATTTCTTGTGGGAACCAATATGTACATGTTTGCAATCATGTTGCAAGAATTTAAATGTGTTAGCTGGAAAACGCTACTGCCAGGGAAAATAAAATCTGTTTCCTGCAGTGGGAACTGACCATGTAGTCTTAACAGTCTTTTGTACGAACACACTACAAGCCAGATAACTCCCCTATCCAATGCTTGCCTTGGGATTGTCTCTAAATGCATCAAGCATATAATAAAAGATACTGAGATCAATGTGTTCTGTCCTGTGTTTTGTGAAAAAATGCAGGTGTCAGTCACAACACAGAAAATGAATGTAAGGGGCTTGTTTTTCTGACTGGAGTTTTAGGAAACTCCATCATTCTGGCAATTCCCTGCATTTGGTACCTTTCTTTGGATTAATTCACTTTTTAAAAAGAACACAACTACAATGAGCTATCAACCCAGACCCCTCAGGACAGGGACTATTACAAAGGCGGCAAGTGTCGGGGATGTGGAGACACTGGAACCATGTGCACTGCTGGTGGGAACATACAGTGGTGCATCCGCTGTGGAAAACAATGCTCAAAAAACTGAAAACAGAGCTGCCTGTGACTTGGCATTTCCACTTCTGAGGATACATACAGAATACCTGAGGCAGGGTCTGGAAGAAGTATTTGTCCACCGGGTTCCCAGCAGCATTGCTCACAGTAGCTAATAAGTGAAGCAAGTATGCACAGATGGATGGATGAAAAGACAAAATGTGGTCCTTCTATGCCATGGACCATTATTCAGTCTTAAAAGGGGATGGAAATTCTGACGCAGGCTACAGAATATATGAACATCTAGGACGTTATTCAGAGTAAAATAAGTCACAGGAGGATATTATATTTACATGAGGTACTTGAATAATCAAAATTATGGCAACAGTAGAAGAGTGGTTTCTAGAGGCTGGGAGGAGGGGAAATAAGGAATTGTTTGAGAGGTACTCAGTTCTTCAAGATGGCAAGAATTGTGGAGATGGATGGTGGCGAGGGCTGCATAACCATGTAGATGTACTTAATGCTGCTGAACAGTAGTGTGTTGTGTATTTTACTATGATGTTTTTTTAAAGAAGGAAAAAACTTCATACTAGACCATTAGATGGTTTATTATAAATGCTTAGCAACTCCATACCAGAAGGATATCACTTCTGGAAAGAAAAAAAAAGGTCTCTCCAATCTTGTGCAGGCAGAACACAACTGATTGTCTTGTTCAGGAAAACAAGGCTTAGTTACCTTCAATGTGTGGACCTGTCAAGATCTGTCTAGATGATGGCTTCATGTGCTTGATAAACGCCTTATTCTCAGTTTGTTCTTAATAAACATAACGCACTGAGGCAAAGTTCCAAGGTGACAGATTGATTGTGTATTGGGTTGTTAGTGCTGCTGTAACGCTATCACGAACCAAGCAGTGTATCCAGGAAAAATTTATCACAGTTTTGGATCAAGGAGTCCAAGATCAGGGTGTCTGGTGGGCTTGATTCCTTCCAAGGGCTGTGGGAATCTATTCCAAGCCTTTTGCCCAGCTTCTGCTGCTTTGCTGGAAACCTTTTGCATTACCCCAATCTCTGTCCTTCTCTTTACACTACACTGTCCCTTGTTTTGCCTATGTCTCCCTTCTTTTTAATAAGGACACCAGTCCTGTTTAATTTAGGGCCTGCTCTACTTCAGGATGACCTCATTTTAATAGAATGATGTCTGTAATGACTATTCCCAAGTAAAGTCGTGCCCTAAAATACTAAAGATCAGGACTTAAGTATATGAAATTTGTGGGGGGCACACAATTCATCGCATAACAGGATGGGTTTGTGGAGGATGCCAAAGCCCTCTAGGGGTGGAATTTGGAACCTGGTCCTATCATCTACAGTTCTTCCTCACTCCTCTGGGGGCCACATCTCCTTTTCTTAACTCCACAAGAAGTGCTTACAATTACAGCTCCTTCACCATCCATGATGATCAATGACTTTGAAGTTCATCATTCCCTAGCATCTTGGGCTCTTGCTTTTCTTCCACATTCAGACTTGCTCTTTTAGTCATCAAACAGTTTATCTGTACCTCTACCTGTATGGGTCAGGCAAAATAAGTCAGCCCCAAGTAACTCACTGTGATGCGAAGGGTGCAGTATTTAGCTTTAACACTGGTTTCTAGGTGAGATCTATTTCTGGACCATCTATGAATTTTGATTACCCCTCGTCTTTGTTACCCAGCAGCAGAGCTAGTGAAGTGTGCTCTGAGAGCAGCTCAGCAAACATGTAAATGGATCTCCTGGGATGCAGCCAGCAGAGCGGTGTCTGTGACTGAGTAGAACTATGTAAACTGGTTGCTTCTGAGTGCAAGGAGAGTCCTTAGCTGGCTCTGATGTGACATAAGGGCTCATGGCTTGCTTGTAAACACATTGATGTTTTGTTGGGCTGATGAACAAACTGAGGCACAGACTTACTTCCCCAAACTTAGAGGAGACAAAACAGATTCAAGTCTGCGTTTGCCTTCCAAACTTGCATGTCAGCAGGTACACCTCACTCTCCTGTATCAGCTCTCAGCATCCATCTAAAACATTTGAAATGGTTCTACTTCATACAGATTTTTTTAGAGTTTTGGTGAATTGGGGGAAGGGGACTAAGGACACTTTAAATGGAGGTTGTTCCATTATAACACAAGTTAACAGAATTTATAAGCAATACACTCTGCCCATTCTGTAATAATAATAATAATGCTATTCACTTTTATGAATGCATCTGAAAACAGTATTTTATTTAATTTGCTTGATTTTCCATGCATTCATGAAATTAACTCAAAAGAGAAAGGCCTGATTTATAACACGCGAGCGCAGGGTCTCTGTAATATCCATTTTGCCTTTTTCCTTTTTATTGGTACCAGGGATCGAACTCATGACTGCCTGCTTGCAAGACAGGCGCTTATGCCGCTGAGCTAAATCCCAGCCCCTGTAATATCCATTTTACTGTGGCAAATCCCTCCTAATCCTTACAAAGGTATATATATGAGTACAAATTCAGTACACATGCAATTCTTTCACTTCAACTAAAAAAATCAGGCTTAGGTTAGTATTGATGACCATAGATTTATTTTTTTTTAAACAGGGAAACAATTATGGAAGCATTTCCCCTTATTAAAGTTTATTAGGTATAAAGAAATGAATTTACAGAGCAGACATCAATAAATATAAAATACAGGAGATACACTGCGGGAGTCACAGGCTGCAGTCAGCGAGAATCAGGGAGGACAGCAGGGAGGCCTCTACCTGCGAGTTCCCGTCTGGGGTCCAACCTGCACACTACCCGGGGAACTTGTGCACCAGCACACAAGATCAGAGCATTGTGGATTCAGTGACAGGTCTTGAGGAATGATGTGATGCCAGATTCCTGAGATTTCCCCCTATTTGCCATTTTTGGTTTCTGCTTATTCCTTTCCTCTGTCCTTGACTAGTTTGATATTTGATTTCTGAACCAGCAGTGCACATGAAGGTAGGAATAATACTTCATCAGGGTATGTGGTCTACTCTGAAGGTGGGCTTGCCTTTGTCTAGGGCCTTCATCATGGTAATTAAAGCTTTTATAATTATTTACACAGATAGGAGGAAGGCAGAGTGGATACTGTTCAAAGAAATTCTGACCTTCTGAAAACCTTTCACAACACATCAGTAATGCAAAAGGTCTGCAAAGTGTCTTTCCCATTGATTTCACTGCTATAGTTTGGCCTGAGTCATGCTGCAGAGACACGAACTTTGTCATGGCTCTCGGATGCTTGTCTGGATTCAGAAAGCACAACGCTGCTGTAGGATACCAGCTTAATCTTTGTTGCAGTCAATAGGCAGGTGTCTGCAGTCCTGCTGGCCAAACCTTCTTTCCTTATCCATCATATCTGGATGGCTTTGCCTGCACCTGCTACCCTACAGGTGTAAGTGGGTCCCTCCAAAACAAACATTTTCCACTGCTCTTTCTTGCCAATTTCCTTTAATTTGTTGTTATTCTGAGCACAGCCCAGGGATCAGTTTGTTTTCTTCTGTCTTTTTTTTTTTTTTCTTTCCTCTAATACAGCCCTCTCTCTCAAGGTTGGACAGCGTTTGGGGTCAGGCAGTAAGCAGATACACACTTCTACATTTGCTGGCTCAAAGAAAGTGGGAGGGGCAGTCCCACCTGCGCCTGAGCCTTCTGTGTTCAGGGCAGTGAAATTCACACACATCCTTGGCTCCTGGGTGCCCACCAGAAGGCAGGGGAAACTGTTAGTCTTAGGTGTTCTCCTTTGGCTTAGAAGGGAGCTCAGTTTGGCCTGATGGCTGGTTCCCAGGGTCCTAAAGCACAGGCATGGGGCCAACTTCTTGAGATTTTACAAGATGTTTACACATTTTACAAGATGTTTTGTTTTATACTTTTTCATGTCAAATTTTCATGGACCTGTGCTCAGGGTGAGGACAGGTTAGGGAGACCTCTGAGACAGAATTTGTAGTTTACAATAACAATGAATTTTGTGTATTACTTAACCTGCAGGAAACTAAAATACCAAAATTTCATATAGTTGACCTTATCCTCCTGGAGGGACAGGAGGAAAGTGACAGAGACACGGACACTAGGAACACTGTAAACAGTAAGAGCATTGGCTACTTGTAAAATAATTCAGTTACAAAAGGGGCCCTGTGGAAGGTTCAGGAGGGGGCCAAGCCCACTCCTGCTTTGACATAGTGATATATTTACATTAGGCAGCAAAAAAACATCCCTGTACTGCAAAACGGAAGCGAGATGTGGCATCTCGCTCACTGGAGGCTGCGCGGCACTGTCGGGGTGTGGGGACACATTACTTCCTCTGAGCTGCATCATTATAAGGCATTATTTGGTTTGATTTTGCAGTTGGTGCAATGAGACTGTAAAGTCATGCCAATAAGAAGCCATGGTGGATACTTATGGCTTTGGGACTACCTGCAAACTAAGGACACGCTTAAAAATGGTTCAAATCTAGGAAGGGCCAGCCTGCAAGCATATTTACAGTCACAGAATAGACACTATGGGGTGTGACAGGGCACTATTTGTACAGACTAATGCCATGATGTATTTTTTTTTTTTAAAAAAGGAGAAATGGTGTTTTAAAAAATATTACTCAAATAAAAGTCGACTAAAATGCTGCTTTAAAGCCCGTGCAAATCACATATTTACAATAAATAAGTGCTCTGTCAGAGCCTGTATGTCAACTGCATGTAGCTTGAGTACAGTAGAGTCAGACTCTTTCTTCAGGAGGTACCATCTTGCCATATGGAGCCCCAGGACCATGGCTTCACCGTCTTCTCACCGGACAGTCTTTAGGGCTAACTGTAGAAATACGGCAGAACGTTACTGGGTGGGATGAGAAGGTGTACTGCATACAAAAGACCTACCCAGGGTTTTTCCTCACTCACCCAAGGCCACGAAGGTTGGGGAGATGGCTCCATCACATGCAAGGACCTGATTTTACCCAAGGAGTTGTGGGTGGAAAAACAAAAATGGCAAATGAAGATATCGTATCTGGGGACTTAATGCTGTTTTATGAACATTTATTGGAACACAGATTAGCAATTCAGTTGGCAAGACTCTCAGGAGAAGCGAAGAACACTCTGAAGATATCAGGTCAAGGTAAAAGAAAAGTGAACAAGGGACCCAGGCCTCAGACTTCCAGCCTGGGCCTCCACCCAAGCAGTGCTCACTCTGTCCATAACAAAGCGCATTATCCGAGGTACTGCTTGCTGTTGAGGAGCCAGCGATTTTTCTGGGTGCTGCTCTGTGCCTTGGTGCACTGAGAATGAACTGAGGAGGTCTCCAGTGAGACACAAAAGAGCACCAGGGGTCTTTGACTGTGGGATGACTGCAGGAGAATTTACAATCCATCTTATACTGGACTGTCACGGTCAGAGATAAAAACCATCAGTCTGGGATGACTTAGGTATGTGCCTGCCGTGAGGCTGGGGACCAGATCCCACACAGTGTCCCATACAACCCTGCCACATGATGGTGAAGATGCCATTTTACTCCTGGAGATTCTAACACACCAGGATAAGCTGTGAGTTACAGTGTCAGGAGCACTGGACAGAGGCCAGAAAGTATATCTAAATGTGCGACCGTGGGCAAGCTCCTAAACCCTCTGGGTTGCCATTTTCTCTTTTATAAAAATGCCATTAAAGCTATCTCTCCAGCTTTATCATAGGGTTATTTATCACCTAGAGATAACATATAAGCTAACTGAAAACTGTGAAGAGCCATATAGAGATATGGGACTATGATTATGATGGTTATGGTTTTCTAACCATAATAGTAATATATAAGTATAGAAATTGCAGAAATATACTAGAAAGAAAGCAGAAATCAGAGACAATCTAGAGCCAGTGTCTAAACTGGGCCATTCTGTAGTTGCATGGGACATGAAGGAAAAAAGGTAATAGGTTTCCTGAAGAACAGGGCAGGTCTAATAAGAAAAACTTCTTCGGCTTTCGTTTACACTTTTGAAGGATAGTTTAGCCAAATACAGATTTATTGGTTGAAAGCCTTTTAAGTCTTTGAATTTATTGGCTTTCTTGCTTCTAACATTCTGATTTTAAAAATCTGATAATTGTATCAAGGATCCCTTGTATGTGACAAGTTGATTTTCTCTTGCTGCTTTTAAAATCTTCATTGTCTTTTGATATAAGTTAATCTTACTTAGTTCGATGAGCTTTTCAGGGGTTTATATTCATGCCTACTGTCAAACTTGGGAAGTTTTTCAGATAGTATTTCTTCAAGGATTCTTTCTACCCCATTCTCTTTTTTTCTTCTAAAAATCCTACAATAAATGTGTTGGTCTACCTGATGGCATACCACAGGTGTCCTGGATTCTGTTTACTTCTTATATATTTTTTTCTTTCTGTTCTTCAGACTCAATTTTGACTGACCTACATTGAAGTTCATCGATTTATTCTTTTTTTTTTTTAATTGGTACTGGGGATCAAACTCATGACTGTGTGCTTGCAAGGCAGGTGCTTATGCTGCTGAGCTAAATCCCCAGCCCCATTGATTTGTTCTTTTGCCAGTTCAACTCTGCCTTTTTTTGTGGTACTAGATATGAACCCAGGGCCTCTACACTAAGCTACACCTCCTGCCCTCCTTTTTTTCTGACTCTATTGAGTTTCCATTTTGTTTATACATAGCTTTCCTGAATTCTCTACACCTTTTTTTCATTGAATTATTATTAAAGGCAGTGGTTGCTAGAATCTCTGATAGAGCTGCCATCAGGTCTTTTGCAGGGGTAGTTTTTGTTGATTTCTTTTCCTTTGAACGGGCTGTACTGTCCTCTTCCTTTATATAATTTATGTCTGTTGAAAACTATATATTTGAATCAAATGATGCAGTAACTTTGGAAATCAGATTCTTTCCTTTCCCTAGGGTCTGCAGTTTTTATTTTCATTGTTATGTTTTTATCTTACCTTATTTTGGGGCTTGTTCCTGGTTGCCTCTGTGCCAAGTATGAGCCTGAGGTGTCCACCTGAGGTCCTAAGTATTTCTTGAGCCTGAGTCTTTCCCTGGCCATACACACTCACTTTCCATCCTCCCCAGACGGGAAGTTACTGCTGAATGTCTTAGTCTTTATGCTTGGCTCCCAAAAGGGGAAAGTGAGAAAAATGAAGGGAAGAAAAAAACTCCTTAGTACATCACTTCAGCCAGAATGAGTGGAGGTTGGAACCACAGGAGAGAAGATGCAGCCATTTTGAACAGAACAGAACAGAAGCAACACAAGCTATCAGAGCACAGGGCCCTATTAGTTAGATTTTGGGCTTTTAAAATTTTGCCCATGTTGTTTCCCATCAGCTATGCAGAAGCTGCTCCAGATACATGTGCTCAGCTGCCTACCATGGTGACTGGGAAAGGAGCTTTCAGCTCCTGTATTAAGAGCTGAAACTGATTAAACCAACTGAAATTTATCATGGAAGCCTCCCTGGGATGCGTATGCCTTTAACAGAGTCCCAAGTTCCAAGACCGTTCCATCAGACAGATCCCACCAGTGCAACTGCAATCTAGGCAAGGAGACAGACTCCTTGTACTTCTTATCCTGCCATCGTTCCAGAATCCTCTCCATCTACTAGCAATTTGCCTATCTCCCCTCCCTTTTGTATATATATTTTAATTACAACTGATACCCAGTATTGAACCTACAATCATCTGAGAATTGTTACTGCAATTCTTGAATTACTTGGTATTTGCTAGAGGAAGGAAGTCCTTCCATCATCACAACAGTCCTACCTTTCAGGAACCAGGTCCCTTCCTTTTCAGGTCATTTTCCTTGACATTCTGTGCAGCTGCAGAATGGCCTAGTTTAGCAGCAAACAGTCCAGTGTGCTGTCTGTTACACCAAACTCGGAAACCAGAGGAAGCCAGGGGAGGATTGTATATATGGTTTTAAAGAAAGGAGTTTTCAAAATGAGAGCCTGTCATTTGTTAAAGGTGAGGCCCTATTACACACAGTGAAAGATGTGACTTCTATCCATGTTAGAAAACACTTCTAAATTGTCTTGATCGAGAATGAGGATGTTTCTTCAAAGATTATCCTGTATAAGCACTGAAGTAAATCCCACTGATCTTTGTCTATTTCATGTAGCCCTGGGGGCTTGGATCATGATATCTGGTCAAAATCAATTATAATGCTGATGGAGAAAACCATACCAAGGTGGCAAAAAGAAACCATAGACGAGAGAAAACTGAATTGCATTTTATAAACGTTCCAGGATTTTTCTACCAGGGTCCTCCAACCATCACAGTCGGAAGAATAGGGAGTGATGGGGGCAGTTACTGCAGAAGGGTCTGAAGGGGTTCCCAGTGACCGCGCTTGCCTCTGCAAGTGGCAGAGAACTCCCTCCTTCCCCCTTCAGAGTCTAAAACTGTGGGTGTTTCATACTGGCTTAAAACAAAGGCACTCAAAATAGCTTTCCCAAGGAAAGGGAGACTGAGGAAAAATGTTTAGCTGTGAAGGAGAAACCCTAAGGAAAATGCGTGGCCGAATTCAGAGACCTGCAGGGTGTGTTTGTTACCTGAGAATTTCTGCCTTTGATGTCATCGGAGCTCTGCCCTGATGCCTCAGCCTGGAGCCAGGGACCAGGAGTACGGCCTGAGAGAAACAAGAATGATCTCACCATCTATTGGCCCAGGGTCAGCTGTGCACACTTCATGGAGAAACAGTCGCTAAACCAGCACTTATAGCATAAGCCAGGGAGCTCAGAGCAATGTGAGCCTGTCAACCCGAAACCTTCTGGTTCTGGCCCTGGCACTGGCCAGTGTGTTTCCACCCCATTTTCTATGTCACTGACCATGGATACAGAGGAATCAAGTCTGGATACTGTGAGGGGAACACACTGAGAGCATCAAATAAACGCACATTAGACGTTCCTGATAACACACAGCCTCTGGGGACAGTCAGCTGCCTGCCACTGTACCATGCCAAGCACGTGCCAGGGTCAGGCAGAACAAGGAAATGCATTTGCTGAACTGAATCAGACTTCTAGTCCACAAGAATCCAAATTATTCTTGAACGTATTTTGTGCGTCAGTGTTACGCACGTTACATAGGAATACACACTCACAGTAAAGCATTCAGGGAAGACAGAAGATAATGGAAAAGCCCCCAAACGCGTCTTACTTGGTTCTTCCCATAATCCCAATTTCTCATCCCAGGAGTTAATCCCTCCAGTGTTTTCTTTTTGATATTTACTCACACAGATCTGTAGATGTGCAGATATATGGTTTGGTTGGAGTACCCACGTTTTATTTATTTATTTTTGTCTTTTTCCTTTTTATCGGTACCGGGGATCGAACTCACGACTACCTGCTTGCAAGGCAGGCGCTTATGCCGTTGAGCTAAATCCCCAGCCCCTTGTACCCATGTTTTAAACCCACGGCTCTTGGCACTCCAGGCCTCTCCCCTTAATCTGGTGCTCTGAATTGTTCATCTCATTGTCTCCTTCTCTGCTGTATTTAGTAGGAGGTGTTCTTGTCCTGCTCCTGACAGGCCAGGAAATTAACCATGTCCCAAAGCCCCCAGAACAGTCCGGATTGGTACGCTACTTAAAAGCAACATGAAATGAAGAAACACTCATCACAGATTTATCGTGGGAATGACCAGGGATGACCTGTGTTCCTTAGAAGGTTTCAGGTCATCGAGGGTTCGGTATCATGTGGCATGAATACTAAGCTGCTATTTGAATGTTTATAGAAGCTTGTTTTAGAAAGAGGAAGCTATGTAATTAGAACAGTCTCAACTATGTTTAAAATTCATCAAGAACATTAAACTACACTGCTTCCTCTTGATGGTAAAATTACCATTTTTAAAAAATTCTTAAATATTTTGCATTTTTCTACAGTGATCATATATAAGCCAGTATAAAACCCTTGTTAAGGTAAAACTTAAGTTTTTAAAATGAACTATCCCAGGAAGGGTCTCTGAAGCTTAGGAAATAATCCAAAAACACACTGAACTTTCATTAAAACATTCCTTTTTTTGTGTGTGTGGAATATTTTTGTTTTGGGGACTGGACCCAGGGCTTTCAGACTACCCTTTTTAAAAAAATTTAAAACAGGGTTCCATCAAGTTAACCCAGGCCCGGATCTAACTTGCAACCCTCTGCCTCATCAGTCTCCCAAAGTGCTGGCATCACGGGTGTTTATCACCATGCCCAGCTCAACATCTTTAAAATTAACGAGTGCATTTATTCTAAATAAATAAAGATATTTTGAGTAAACAACTTGTGTTAGATTTTCAGTTAGCCCTGAAAAATAAAAAGGCACTGACAGACAGCCCCTGACCGCATTCCAAGTCAGAGAGTAACCTGGACTGGAAAATTGTTATTCTTATAGGAAACCCCTGTCTGATACAGAAAAACCTCCTAGGCTTGAGTTTTCTAATCTAGGCTTTATTTACATCCTGGGCTGGACAATTCCTCATGATGGGGCTGCCCTGTATGTTGTAGGATACAAATCAGCATCTGTGGACTCTATTCAGTAGGTGCCAATAGCAGCCCTGCCCTCTCCAAGACCTACTTTAGTAACAAAAACCACTCTAGAAACTGCCAACTGGCCTGTGGGGTGTGACATTCCCCAAGGTGAGAGCTACTGGGCAAAGAAACAGGCTCCTCTGGAGGGACAAAGAGCACTGGATAATTTAATGTTTTAGTGAAGGTTCAGGGCGGTTTTGAATTGTTTTCGGTTGGGGACTGGGGCAGACCACTTGTTACCTGCCTGGGTCTCTTCAGCTGTCCGTGCAGGAAGTGGGTGTTATGACCCCTGAGGGCCTTCTCTTCATCTCTAAGTGAGGAGATGACAGTTTCCATTGGATCCAGACCTTCGACACTGCATATCTGACCTTCCCCTCTGTGTTGTCACTGTCACTGTCACTGTCACAGTGCTGGCCTTCATAGCTTCCTTGACCACAGTCCCTCTGTAGAGGGCTCAGGCCTTCCTACCCCCCACAGATGTCATCCTGGGTCTCACTCCCTTCTCCACATGTGGCTGGATAGGGTGAGCTTGTCTCCCCCAATAATTTGTAACTTAAAAATTAGTTCTAATCGTTGCTGAGAGCAATATATATTATAAAAATTTGGACAATATTGTATTGCAGAAAATGAAAGTTAGCATTCCAACACTGAGTGATAACTATTTTTGATATTTTGGTATATTTCTAGTCTTTTTTTCCATTTGATGAAATTCTCCTTTTCTACATAGACACACTGGTTTTTTGCAGGGCTTAGATTTCATTTTATGTTATTTTTATATACTACTTTGCTGTTTTTTAAAACTTTTTACTTAACATGGTAGGGCTAATATTTTCCCGTGTCACTGAATATCTAACCATGTTTTAATGATTGCGTGGTATTCTACTATGTGGCTTTGCCTTACTTTATTTGACCTCATTGACAGCAATTTATCCTATTTCTAAATTTTTTATTCTGTATGTGGTTTAGCAATGTATGTACAAGTGAACATTTTTCTTTATATATTCAGCTAATATTTTCACAGCACAAGCTGCAACAGGACTTGAATAAAAAGGCCTGCATTGGGGCCGTACACTGTACTGGGCAGACAGAGCAGTGTAAGAAGCATGTATACATATGAGATATGTAAGCAGGTGATAAATGCTTTGAGCACAACTAAAAACGAGTATGAAGAAAATAAAAACTGTTGGGGCAGAAAGAAATACTACTTTAAACAGGTCAGGAAGGGTCTCTCCAAGAAGGTATGGCTTTGGACTGAATTGTGATCTTCCAAATTCATACACTGGAGTCTGAACACATATGTGATGGTATCCAGAGATGGGGACTTTGGGAGGGGATCAGCATTAGATGAGGTTATGAGGATGGGACCTCCACAAAGGGACTGGCGACCATCAGAGTGCATGTCTTGTGTGTCTGTCCACTATGTGAGCACAATGAAGAGCTGTCCCACTGAAAAACAAGAAGAACCCTCACTAGAAACTAACTCAATCATCGCCTTTATCTTGGACTATCCATACTCCAGAACTATGAGAAAATAAATGCCTGTTAAGCTGACCAGTGGATGGTATTTTTGTTATAGCAGGCTGAACTGTTAGAGACAGGTACCATCTGACCAAAAATGCAGAGGAAGTGCAGAGTGAGTTGCATGGATGTCTGAAGGAAGTTTCATACAGGAGCATGACATACAAAGAACTGAGACAAGAATGTGCTTGGGATGTTCTAAAAATTGCAAGTGTTGCAGGAGCAAAACAAAAGTGGGAAGAGAATGATGGAAAGGGAGAGGGACAGTTCACATAGGTCTTATGCAGCATGATAAAAATTTCTAGTTTATCTGAAGTGATAAAGTGAAGGGAATTCACTGAAGGATATTGATCTTAGGGTAGCCTGATTGGATCGAAGTTCAGATGAATCATTTGGCTACAGGATGAAGCAGGAAACCTGTTCGTTCCCACAGCCATCAGGGCAAGAAATGGCAGTGACTTAGGCCAGAGAAGGAGTGGGAGACAGGGTGAGATAGATCAGATTCTGGATGCATTTCAAAAAAAGGTGGCCCAGAGCTTCCTTGTGAGTTGAGTGTAGGAGTAGAAGCAGAGGTGTCAGAGATGACTCTGGGGCTTTTGGTGTAACGGAGCAGCAGAAGAAGCAAGAGAGCTGTAGGAAAATCTAAATGCTTTGGAAGGAAAGGGTGCTGGCACATAACTGATGCCTCTGACCATGGAATTTGGCAACAGGGAGGTCCGCTGGTGGCTGTGATCCAAGCTCTTGTCATGGTGATTGGACAGAAATCTGGGGAGGACTTAAGTGGAGAGAGAACATGAGGAGAGGAATTGGAGACAGGGTTGGCTCCGAGACAAGCAGAGAGGCTCAGGATCAGAACAGCTCAAGGGAGGTGCTATTAGACATGACAGCACTTCTGTGGGTGTGGGTTCATAGAAACAAGGAAGTGTCCAGGAAAGACAGGAGCAGTGGCTGAGGAATGAGATGCTGGAAGACAGCTTATAAAGTCAACACTAATAATCATGAGTAGCCAAAAATGCTGACTGAGACCACAACTTCTGCCTAATTGCACACCACAAAGGCAGACATACAAGGGGTAATTGGAAAACATGGTAGATGTTTAAATTGAAAATTTTCATTACAGTAAAAGATGTAATGTTATTAATCTCAAAATATTCCCCCTTGTTTTGAATACATTTATCTCACCATCCTTGCCACTTTCTGAAGCAATTCTTGAAGTCTTTTTTTGTGTCTTCATAAGGTGTGATAAAAACAGTACAATTAATGCCACTAAAGGAAAGGCAGGCTTGCAAAAATACTACACGGCTCCTTCATATACATTATTCACTGTTTTTGACACCATGTGACTTCCAGATCTTCTCCAAAGTCAAAATGACCATGAAAGATAAATGTTTTGAATTCTTGATGTTAAGACAGCCATGAAAAGACACTCAACAAAGAGGACTTCCAGAGCTGCTTCAAAAAGTGGCAAGAATGATAGGATGTGTGTTTGAAGTGAGGGCAGGATTTGGGGGGGATTAATGGCAGTGTATTTTTTAATTTAATAATTTTAAAAAATTTAAACACACACCATATTTTTCAACCACACCTTATAAATACACTCCCATTGGTGATATGCTTTCCTACTGATTCTCTTACCTTTGGGATACCTAATCTGATTTTTATGACATAAACTACCCTATATTGTTAAAATTACTGCAATGTAAGATGGAGAGGTGGAAATAATGGTGGTTAGTTTTACTACAAGTATGAAGCAACTTTTAAAATAAGAATTGGACTACAGTAAGATGCCACTCACACCCATTACAATGACTACCATAAAATAAAATTTAAAAACTGAAAATAAGTGCTGATAAGGATGTAGAGAAACAATCCTTTGTTCACTGCTGGTGAAAATGTAAATGTTGGAACTGCTATGGGAAGCAGTTTGATATCCCTCAAATGAAAATAGCAATACCATGTGGCCCAGCAATTTCCAATTGAAAGTGGGGTCCTGAACAGGTATTTGTAAACTCACACTCTTGGTAACATTATTTTCAGCAGCTGAAATGTGAAAGCTACCCAAATGTCCAACCATGGATCGATAAACAAAATGTGGTTTGTGTATATGTGCTGTATTGTGTATTTCCTACCTTAACACAATACAACACAGATACACATTTCCTACCTCAAAGGTAGGAAATTCTAACATAAACTGCAACATGGATGAACCTGGAGGATATTTTGCTAAGCAAAATAAAGCAGAAGCAAAAAAAAAGTGTATCTGTTTATTATGATGTACTTAAACAGTACTCTAAATCATAGTTATAGAAAAGTAAATAGTAGTTGCCTAAGGGTTGGGGGCAAGGGAGACACGGAGCTCTTATTTAATGAGCACAGAGCTACTAATAATAAATAGTTTCACAGCAATGTGAGTGCACTTAACTTCACTGTATACTTACAATGACTAACTGGCAAATTCCCTGTATGCGTTTTATACTGCAGTTAAAAATTTAAAAATAAATAGAGGTTGTGATGTCAACATAGCCACTTTCCCACTGAACTGTAATGAAGATGGTTTTTCTGGGAATCCAGACTAAAATGACATGTTTGGGTGACTATCTCCCCTGTCGTCCTCCTGTATAATGCTATTTCTCAAGGGCACATGATATATTCATGGAGCAACACTTCTCTAGGGATAAGGACTTCATTAAGCATCTACTGAAATAATGACGGCTTCACTCTTTCTACTGTCACGTTAGTAAACATTTGTAACCTATGTATTTTCCCCCAAAGATTCCTGATACAGTTTTTGGTCATTTTGTTTTATTGTAGTAAATCCATATAAAATTTACTATTAGAGATGTTTAGTACATTCACAATGTTGTACTATACGGTTTATCACCCCACAAAGGAATTCCACACCCTTTAGCAATCACTCCCTATTTTCCACCCCAGATTTCCTGGCAGCCAGTAATCCAGCCTTCTGTCTCTGTGAATTTGCTAATTTTAGATTCGGATGTCAGTGGAGTCACATGCGGCCTTAGCTTTTGGTCCCTTTCGCCTAGCTCCACGTTTTCGAGTTTCCTCTGTGAGATGTCTCAGCACTGCACGGCTTTCTACTGTTGGAGCACACCCCACTGCACGGCTGTCCCTCATTTGTTTATCCGATCACCAGCTATTTCCACCATTTGGCTACAGTGAATTATGCTCCTATGGATGTTATCATACAAGTTTTTGTTTGAACAGTAGTTTAAAACATTTTAGGAATTGATAGGTCAGCCACAGCTTGATCTCGAATGTCCCCCAAAACTCACATGAGGAAGGCTTGGTCCCCAGACAGTAGTGCCTTTGAGGGTTGGTGGAACCTTTAAGACCTGAGGCTTCATTGGAGGCTATAAGTCACTGAAGGTGTAACCCCAGAGGGGACTGTGGGACCCCAGCGCCTGCCTTCCTTCCTTCCTTCCTTCCTTCCTTCCTTCCTTCCTCCCTTCCTTCCTTCCTTCCTTCCTTCCTTCCTTCCTTCCTTCCTTTCTCTCTCTCTCATTCTTCCACTCCCCAGCCACTGTACAGGAGCAGCTCTGCTGTGCCACACACTAGCTGCGATCATGTGTTGCCTTGCAACAGGCCCCAAAGCAACAGGGCCTATCAGTGACAGACTGAGACCTTGGAAACCATGAGATAAAACAAACCTTTCCTCTTTTAAATTGATTACCTTAAGTATTCTTTTTTTTTTTTTTTTTTTACAATAACAAGAAGTCAACTAACAAAAGTCAAATGGTTATTCTATGTTTAATTTACTAAGGAATCTACTGCATTTAAAAATACTTTTAAAACTAGACAACATTACTGTACTAATAAAAAAGCCAATAATGGTGGAACAGAGACAGTAAATATGACTACGGGAAGAACTAAGCATTGGATCTTTGTGTGCTGTGTGTGTGTGTGTGTGTGTGTGTGTGTGCACACTTGTGCACACTAAAAGGAGAAAGAGAACCCAGGCATCCAGAAGGGGTCACACAGAGAGCCCCACACCCACAGAACACACTCTCATGACAGACCAATACTGCCTCCCAGACCATAAGGAACCCTAACTCAGTCAATGATGAGAGACAGGAAAACCATATGGAGAAACACAATCAAGACAGGCACAACCCTGAACTTTCTCAGTAGTATCATTAACAAATTTCTACACTGATGCTCACAGGATGGCAAGAACATGCTCCATTAATTTTTCTAGGAAGCTCCTAAAGAATTTCATGTCCACGATGTCACATCCATCTAAAAGTCCTCTTATGTTTGAACTTGAAACTGTGCTTTCTAGTTTGTGGGATGGCAGCTCGTTTAGTAGGTTTTTGTTTCTGGTATTTTATTGTCTCCTTTTGAGCAAGAGGAGATGACAACGGTGGCCTCCCTGGAAGGCGGTGTGGAATGATGGGATAGAGCTTTCTCTCCTCTCAGGCACTATGGGCCTGAGAATGCTGGCTGCTCCTGAACACCTAAGTACTCATCTGTTTTACTAGCTGAGAGAACAGGTGTTATTGTCTACAACCTCTGGTCATCTATGTAGCCTCACCCTAGTCAGGTACTTCATACCCTAACATACCACAGAGGATTTATGGTTCCTAAATGTGCCAGAACTGTCACGTTCTCTCCTGGGTCTGTGCTGTCCTCAGGTCAGATGCCTTCCTATACCGGTGCAAATGTCATCTTTCTAGGCCTTTGGGTCCTCCAGTGCCACCTCACCCCATCATGGCGACCCTCGGCACGCTATGCACTCTTTAGGGCAGCCCCAGTCACCATGGCTAATTTCTTTTTTCTTTTCTTTTCTTTTTTTTTGTCTTGTTTTGAGGCAGGGTCTCGCTATGCAGTTCAGGCTGGCCTTGAGCTCACTTCGTAGCCCAAGCTGGTCTCAAACTAGCAACGATCCTCCCACCTCAGCCTCCTGAGTGGTGGGATTACAGGCATGAGCCACCATGCCCAGCTAACCATGGCTAATTTCTCACATACACATAGCAGGAGTATGCATGGTGGGGACTTGGTGAAGGGCGCTTGTTTCTTACACTTGGTGACTTTTGATGTTCTCAGTGCAGCTAGTGTACAATGGGCAGTTCAAATGTATTTGAACTGAGTAGAAATGCAAGACAGACACAGCAGCTCTGTCTGTTCATTGCTGGGTCTTCACTGGGACCCTCAGCGGGTGTGACGTCCCCCTCATTCTGTCCATCTTTATGCTGTTTCCCTTTTTCTCTCTCCAGTTCAGAAAAGTGGCAGGTCCATGTGATTAACGGAAGAGTACACAGGCCCCTTCCTGCCCTGTACAGTCCCATACCCAGCGGGGGCATCTGTCCCCCGGCTGGTGCCGAGAAAGCCTCTGTCCTGAGCAGAGAAGGCTGGAGTTTGTGTGCTCCGTAGGAATCTGAGTCCATCAGAAGCAACTTCACCAAAGTGCCTCTGAAAGGACAGGGTCACCAGACCTGGGTGCTGACTCCTGGTCACAGACTAGCCCTGGATAACACTGATACTTTTCCAGTTGGGTGAACAGGCCATGGACTGGGTGTGTGTGTGTGTGTGTGTGTGTGTGTGTGTGTGTATGTGTGTGTGTGTCTTACTTATGTGGTGGGCAGGAACATCTCCACCCTCGCCCCATGTTGTTGACTCTGCCCCTCCAGCTCTCTACCTTCTGTCCAATCCATCCCAGCACTGCGTGAGCATTGACTCCTGTTTCCTAGTGGGCAGCATCACTGGTTGGGCAACACCTCAACCTTTATGCTCTTTGCCTTCCCTCCCTTCTGTTTTGGATCTGCCAGGCAAGTGGGCCAGCTTCTTCTCCTTCATAGAATAAACAGGTAAGTTGACCACACAAGCAAAGCAGAAGCAGGCTCTCTCTGTGTTGAGTCTCAACCCTGGCTACACACTGCAATGACCTGGCACCTTTAAAAAATACTGACAGCTGAGTGCCACCCTGAATATTCTGATCAGATCCAGCCTGGACTTCAAGGTTTTTAAAAGCTCTGCAATCATTTTAATATGTAGCCAAAGTTGAGAATTGTTGGCTGGAAAACATTTTCCATTTCATGGTTTGTCAAAATTCTGAACTGTAGAATTCGAGTTTCTCACCTGTATCTCATCTCATTGGGATGTTCTGGGGTGTTTGGTTCCCTAATCTGAGGCTCCAAGAGGGGGAGGGATATATAGTTAATTTAGGCATCCAAATCTGATGGTGAAGTGTTAACCCTGGTCTGTAAAAACCTTCCAAATAAATTATTAGGTATCAGGATAAAAAAATATTCTGACACTTTTAAAAGTAGGGATGACACATCCTTTTAGGACAGTAATCACAACATCATCTTTTAGATAGTCTGTGGTCAGTCAACACAGTCTGCATATCTACTTTTGGAGAGTTAAGAAAAGCCAGGAGTCTTGTCAAGGTGGTACTTACTTCTGGGGATCTTGCTGGGGTAAATCTTCTGGCATGGTTTGTACTCATCTGGAGGGGGAAAGTCTTCCACAGAATGGAACGTGAACTTAGACTCGAAGTCGTCTGCACATGTGGGAAATGGTAAAGGTTACTGGGGGGACTGTCGTGACCCATGTGTGAGCATTTCCAGGAATGCACAGGTGATTTGACTGAACATGCTGTGTTCTGTACAAGGGATTTGTTGGCAAGGCTACTTCCTCTGAGACATCCATCTGCCTTTCAAGATCTAGTGATTGGCTGTCATGAGGGGAAGGAGGAGAAGGAAAATCAACAATCATTCCCCATCATCTATCTTAACTTACTCCAACCAGCACCTCAAGGAAGCTGCTGAAGGGGTAGAAGTGGTCAGGGATACCCAGAGTTCAGAGTTAGGGTGGGGAAGCTGGGCCCAACAAGGTCCTGCAGTCTGCAGCTCCTGACAGTTGGAGGATTAGGAGAGTGTGCAGGAGGTAGATGAGGAGTCCTTACTAGGTGAGAAGGAACCTGCTTGTGTCCAGTGTAGGACCTGGGTTCCTCTAAGCAAACAGTTCTACCCTGAGCTCCTGGCAGAGGATGGGAGGGGCCATGTGGCCCTTCATGGGCTGATTCCCTGCTCTGTGGTCCAGCCTTTGTGTCTGGCAAACACTATCCCAGGGATGCAGAAGTTTTGTGGTCACATCTGACTCCAGGTGGCTTTCCTTCCTATGTTCATCTTTTGCTCTGATTGAGGCCCCTGCTTGGTAAGTTTCCCACTCGTTTTTTTCCCCTTATCTAAGTCATTTTGGTCTTTCAGGTGCATAAACTAATTTCTCTGTGATGACAGACAGATGACACACATACACACACGTGTAGAAACACACATAGTTTAAATGTCCATTCTCCTCCTTCCTCTAATCTGAATCAGAATGCAAGAGTAGGTCCTGAAACCAGGCAGAAAGTGTTGAGAGAGACCCTATCTCACAGAGCCTACAGGCAATCTGTGCTTAAGTGAGCCCCACCCATTTGCTGAGAAGCACCGAATGAGCTCCTCTAGCTCATGTGCCAGAGGCTGAGGGGCCCCCGTCCTCACTGGCAACCCACTTGGGGGTATGAGCCCACTTACCGATGATGTGCAGGCTTCCGTTTCGTAGCTGGCCTCCAGGCTGTGGGGGTGGGGTCCAGGCTGGGGCCTGCTGGGTCTTGCTGGAAAGCTCTGTGGTGGGGGACCTTGCAGGGGGTGCTGGAGGTGGATTTAGTTTTCCTCCACTGGTCCCTTATAGAGAAGATGATGAAACATTAGGATACAGGAATGTGCACAGTGGATTCTTTAGCTTTATGTGAGGGGGTAGGTGTTTAGATTTTAGGATGTAATGTAAGAGCGCAATATCTCAAGCCAACCTGTTTGGGATTCAACCGCAGTTCTCCCACTGGGATGACTAACATGCCTCTTTTGTGCCTCAGTTTCCATCTGTAAAATGGGACTCATACCAGTACACATACCTCCTAGAGTTGTTGAGAGGACTAAATAACATGATTTAAATCTGGGTTAACCCTCCCAACCCTCATTTGTTTGGAAGATGCCTGGATTATAGAGGCTGTTGCTGACTTTGTGTTAGGAAGTACAGCCTGATTAGAGTCGAGCCTGGAATGTGGGGTGTGTGTGTGTGTGTAGATGGGTATGGGTGCTGGGTGTGCAGTGTATGTTTTCCTGTGTGTTGGTGTGCACAGATGTGGCAGTGTGTTTATGTGTGTGGCTGCAGGTATGTGAGGATGTGTAGTGCCTGATGTTACATCATTCCAAAGAAATCAGTCATGAGCCGTGTACACTCAATGCACAATTCTCTCTGCTCTTTATGTGAAGGAATTATGCTTATGCTTACTCTTTGGCTTAAAAACTGTTGGCCCTGTTTCTAGAGTCATCTGGGGAATGCCCCAAAGAGAATGTAAATCTAATCTATGGAGGGCCAGGAAAGATGTGGGACTCGAACAACTCAGGTAAAGACTAAAATGAGACCTGCTTTGAGAAATGAGCTGCATCTGTCCCTTCTGCACTGAGGAATAGATCCGAAGCCAGAGGTCAACAGAGTAAATGACCCTTCTTTAGAGCTCACTGTTGTTAGGCTCCGCCCCAATCACCACATATTCAACAAATCCAATTTCACAACAATTCTGCCAAGCAGCCACAGTCGCCATTCCCATTTTACAGAAGAGAAGGAAGCACAGAGAGGCTAAGTAGTTGCACAGGGTGACACAGGTAGTAACAGCAAGAAGATCAAGGCCAGAATCCCTGCCTTTTCTTCAGAATGATCTTGGGCAAGTCTCCCAATCTCCTTCATCCTGTTTCCATTTCTGAAGTGGTACCTCAAACAAGTCCCAAGGAAGGGCAAGATTTTATCGTGCTCCACCAGGGGGCGCAGAATAGCTCTGGTGTGAAACAAAATCCCCGGATTTGAGCAATCCACGAGGTTCGCGGGAGGCCCAACGCCGCCAGCCAAACGGGCTGCTTACCTGGGCCTCGGCCAATCCGCTTCTTCTGCACTAGGGGCTGCGACCCTGGAGGGCCCGGTGGCGCGGGCAAGGCTTGCACGCCGGGCTTCTGCGGCAGGGCCTGGAAGCTGGGGGACTTGGGGGGAAGCGGGGGAGGGGCCTCGGTGTTGCTGTTAGCGCCCGGAACCGGGGGCGCAGGTGCCCTGGGGGAGCACGCGGCGAAGGGGGGCAGTGGAGGGGGTGGGGGTGGTGGAGGGGGCGGCGGGGTCGGGGGCTCCCGCACTTCCTGGGCGGGGCTGGCGCTCTCCGAGTTGAGCCCAGGATACCCACAGGGCGGGAGGAGCGGCAGCGGGGGTGGGACGGGCGGCAGGTGCAAGGGGGCCAGTGGGGGCCTCACTGCCTTGTCACTGAGTGGGGGTGCAGGGGGTAGCGGGGGAGGGGTGGGAGGAGGGGGCGGAGGCGTGCAGGGGACAGGGGGCGCTGCCACAATGGGGCTCCCTTTGGTGGGCAGGCCGGACGGGGACACCAGCGGGGCTTTGCTCGGGGATGAAGGGGGCAGAGGTGGGGGCAGAGGTGGAGGCAGGGGCGGGGGCGGCGGAGGCGGGGCGGGCACGCTGGGTCGCGGAGGGACTGTGCGCGGGGCTCCGGCGCCCTCGGGCGCGGTGCCCAGCCTGGGAGACGCAGGCGGGTTCAGCGCACCGCCCAGCGTTTTGGTGGGCAGCCTGGGAGACGGCGCGCGCGAGCCAGGGCCTTGCCCTGCTTTGCCACCTGAAAGTACAAGAAGTTCTAGGTTAGTGCACCAGTAGAGGAAGGAGAATGCCCAGCTGTCAGGGACACCCTGGGGCACGGGGTCCGGAAGCTGCAGGTAAGAGCCTTTTCCTGTTGTCTACAGAGAGGCTTCAAGTGCAACAGCTGTCACACAGCAGGCCCAGCTCCAAGCTCCTTCCCAGCCTCAAGGAGCATGTGTCTTCCAAGACAGTCCCAGGCCTGTCCTCCAGCCCTCCTATCCGGTGCCACCTCCATTCTCATCTGCCAGCAGTCTCTCGGTCCCCTAATGCAAAGCACAGGACTGATTTGACCTCTGCACTCTTCCTCCTAAGGGCCACCCTCAAGGACATTTACTCTACCTACACTAGTTAGGGTCCTCAGGTTACCAACCTCACTTCTTGGCTAGGGAGGTTTTCCTTCCAGTGTTTGTGAGCAATGACTTTCTTACTTTCTGTACTGACAGCAAAAGATTCATATAAGCAAGAGACATTTGCCCTTGGCAATCCAAGGCCAGTGAACTTGAATCTCCTAGTATCATGGGCTTGGGAGGTTTAAGCTCCCTTTCCCAAAGACTTTTGCTGCCTTCCTGGGGTTGCCTTTTTTCCTGATCCTCTAGATTTCTTGCCCTATATAGTGGCTTGTTCAGGACATCAGCCTGCACTTGGAAATCAATTCCTCTTCCAAATTCAGCAACAAGCAATTTGTCATGGTGAGTGTTTGTGTTTGGTGGGCTGTGTGCTAGGGGGTGTTGGGAGGTCCTTGGTCCGCTGCCCAGCCCTGCACCACACTGCTAGCTCTCATCTTTATTTCTCGTTGCCTCTTTCTAGAGGAAAAATTCCTGCCCCTGTTTACTGCATACAAGTTCTGAAATCGCTCCTGAAATACATCTTGGAGTGTTCTGTCATTGTCCCGTCAAATATAGCCCTTTCCCTGCCTCTATGTCAGTGTCCTTATATTTTATAATTTCCATGATAGCACATAAAAAACACTTGGAAAAACGGTTGCTGCTCTCACCTAAAATTTCATGGGTGCTGCCACAAAGAAAACACGGTTTTAATTTCAGATTATGAGCCCCTGCATCTGCTGGGAGTTCTGAGCTTTTCAGTGCATACAAGTCACCAGAGTTTATGCAACCAGGTGTTAAATCATACACCAAAGAATTGGATGTTAAAAGTCAGGCCAACAAGACACAGGAAAAGTGACTCTGGGTATCTGATACTAGGTGGACAGGACCACAGTATTGACTAGTTTCTCAGACTGGTGACCCTCTGGCTACGATGTGAGCATCACTCAGACAATACTATTATGGAATGGCTGTTCTTAAGGCTAGCATTACTCTGTTGAGGATTTTCTTTGAGGTGATTCTGGAAGATGCAATGTCTTTGCAGTGGTGCCTCTACCTTTGTTGATTTGATGCAAGAGGCCAAAGACAGACATTGACACAACAGTTAGTACCATAAGAGGGGACAGGAGGTCTCAACATGGCCTTGCCCAGGTTAGAAACTATAAGCACAAGGTAAGCCTGGAGAGGATTGGCTGTCCCAGGGGAAAATATCAAACTGGCAGTGCTGGCCCAAAAGAAGGCCATCGTTACTGTAGGCTGCAAATAGTGTGAGGTTTTGCTCTGAGAGTGACTCCGTCAGCACTGCAGGGTGGAGTTGGAAAAGAAATTCATTGTAGTGTCTGCAGAGCCATTTGGGGAAAGAGTTTGTTGTTTAAGACTGAGCTATTCTGGGAATCAGAAGTCACAAAATATCACTGTCTCTGGGGTCACCCTACCACAGTGAAATAGATCTTTGCCCTGACTCGTGGGAGAGTCATGGAGAGGAGGCAGGCCTACTTGAAGCACAGAGCTTAGTGGTCTGTTTGATTTCACATCTGCCAGTGTAATCAAGATACCTGAGATTGTAGAAGTGACACATCCTGGGGAATACAGACAGAAGGACCTCTGGAGATGGGGGTACCTCATGAGCCCATAAACCATAAAGCTAGTCAGAGATGACCGTGACTTGGGGTATCCAGAAGGGCACCAACAGCACCAACACTAAAAACTGCTGGAGTGAACACAACCCTAAGGCAGATACCATACCACTGACCCTGCCCAGGGGGAAGGTGGAGCAGGACTCAGCATTCACGCACACAAACAGTGGGCATGCAAACAAAACAGGCCCTCGTCGTGATTCACTGTCCTCTACCTGTATATGGTAGATCCCAATAGCACAGGCCTGGAGATGGACCACTCCCTTAAACAAGGGAGTGAAGTTTTTGAGATCATTTCTCTGTGGTTTTTTTTTTTTTGTTTGTTTGTTTTTTCTTATCTTTGTTCTTTTATTGATTTTTTCTTTTACCCTTACCTGATTCCACTTTCTTTTATTCTTTAATTTGATTTTTTTCTTAATTTTCTTCTCATCTTCCTTTTCTTTTCAAGTTTTACTTCTTTCATTTTCTCTAACCTCTTCCATTTTAAAAATTATTACTATTATACTTTATTACTCTTTAGCTATTCAGTTGACTATGCTATTATTGCTGAGTTGTTTCTTATTGTTAATGGTGCTATAGTTATGCTTTTAGTAGATATTTATTAAATGTCAGTATTTGGTTTGTGTCTGCATAATTATTGCAGGTCTCTTTTTCATTGTAAAGTTGTAGCTATTATTGGTTCTTAACAGTATGTTAATATCCTGTAATAAACCTATTTCTTATCTATTGTTGATGGTGGCATAATTGTTGCTTTTAATTAGTTTCCAGTGTATGGTAATATCCAGTTTGTTTTGTATTGTCTTTTCTTCTCTGAGTAGTGCTGAGGGTCAAGCCTCCAAAAAAAGTCTGGGCACCAAGAAGAATTTAAAATGTTGCATTCAATAGGATGAAGAGGAGTATAAATACCAAAATATAACTAAATCCAAGAACACATCACAGGGAGACAGAATCTAATTCTGTCACCACAGTAGTGACAGAAGCTCCCCACCCTAATCAATCTTCAACCAGCAGTGTAAAAAAGAGAGATACATGAGAAAGGAAAGTGACAAGATGCCTTCCAACCTCTGTAACTCCCCCAAAGCTTATCTCATGGAGACTGAAATAGAGGAAGCTACAGGGAAAGAAAGAAACCAAATGGTCAAAATGATTAAGAGGTAAAAGAAGAAACATATAAACGAATGTCTGAGATGTTTAATGTGCTCAAAGAGGATTTAAGTGAACAGATAAAATATTTTATCGATAAAGTGTTAAACTGAGTTAAACAAGAAGACACAGTATATGAGTGATCACTTGGTAAAGAATTAGAAAATATGAAGAGAAAGCATGCAGAAACACGTCATGAAAAATTCCATGGGAAGCATGCTAGAGAACTTGACAAATGTGAGGACAAAGTATCAGAAAACCAGATGGACATAGCAGATCATCAACTCATCGATACCCTAGAAGTGACAAGACGTTATGCAAGCTGAATCTGACAGCTGCTATAAACAAAATAAAACAACGCCATCTCAGAATTAGGGGAATAAAGGAAAAATTAGATGATTCAAAAGTTTAAAAAATGTATTCCTCACCTGTAGCATCCCTCTGGCCTGTTGGTCGCAATACAGGGAAGCCACCAGCAAAGAGATCTCCCAGGGCTGGGGGTGTGCTTCCTCCTCGGGAGTTCACAGGGCCTCCGCCCTCTTTGTTGGTTCCCTTGGAGCCTTCAGAGAGAAGAGGTAAGTAGGTGAGGTTTGAGAGCAGAGCTGAGCAACTTGTTCTCCAAGTCATGGTCTAATGTTACCTCCGGCAGCCTCCTGTTACCCTCCCTCCCCTTCCATTCAGCATCTCCCTGAGCACACTCTGCCTTCCCTTGCAGATGCCTAGGCCTAGATTTACTTCTCTGCTCCTACCAAAGAGCTGACCAGTTGTAGCAACCACTCCAAAGAGTGACCAAGAAGAAGATAGCAGAAGACTGCTATTGGTGAATGCCAGCTGGGGAACTGGCAACACTTTGCCAGTTAGAACACCCAATCATGGTTGTTGTAGAGATGTACCTTTTTTCAACTTGGCATTGGAAGGACAACACAGAGAAACCCTACAGATTTAATTCAGTCAGCTACTTTAACTTGCTGCCTATAGAGCACTGGCAGAACTGCAAGGAGGAAGTAAAGGCCTGTTTGAATGATCTCTACTTCAGAATTTTCCTTCCCGGCTCCCCAGCTTTCCGGCCCCAAGCCCCTCATGCTCCTCTGCACTGTTTCTCTTATGGCACAGAAAGGCTAGGAGCCTGGCATCAGTAACTCCAGCCTTCCAGCTGTGGGTGCTTACCAGCTGTGGAAACTGAAATGACATTTGGCTCTGACAAGAACTCTTGGCCAAACTTGTCACAAGCAGAAACCAATACACTGAAAAAATCAGGGCACAGTGCTCACTGGTGGATGAAAGTTGTCAGATTATTCTGAGTATAGTATTATGGTTATACATTACTTCCTGTTGGAGTGATTAGGAAATGGATGTTCCAATAAGCAGAGTTAATCTCTTAATTGAAATTAATTGAGCCTGACCAATTAGAAAGTGAGTCTAACCAGAAACTAATGTTTTAAATTATAGTCAATGTTGAAAGTATTTCCTTAAAAGCATGTCTTTGTGTATTAACATATATGAGGTGCAATTCTATTTTTAGGACTATCTTTGAGAACTATCATCGTGAATCTATTGTAAAATATATGATGATGCAATAACACCTTACATTACTAAATAATTCTACATATTTTATTTCATCGACAAACAAGGGTAGGTATTGTTATGTCCCCCATTATGCAGATGAACATAGTGAGCCTCATCATTCTCTGAGTTGCCTGGTAGCAGCAGGAGACCTCAGCACAGGTTGTCTGACCCATGCTCAGGACTAGTTTTTCTCTGTCATGCTCTAGAAGATGGAAGGCTGCAGGCATATGATCCCTCGAGACAGAATTCTGAATCTTTATTTTCCTCGTGAAAAAGCAAATGCATTTTAAAATATTGAGACTCTTAGATCCTACCATTAAATTTGAAGACTATGTCGACACAGAGTAAATGATTTTTAAATGTTACCCCATAACAGGTACAAAATGGGCCATAGCCATACATGAGACTATATGAAAAAAGAGATGACGTGCTGATGGAGCTTCAAAATATTAGGCTAAATGAGAAAAGCCAGCTACCAGAGGCCACTTATAACATGATTTCAGTCCTATGAAATAGCCACAATAAAACGTTCCATAGAGATAGAAAGTAGATTAGCGGTAGCCAGTGGGCAGCGAGAATGGAGTGATTGTGATGGGTACGGGGTTTCTCTTTGGGGTAACAGAAATGTTTGAAACATGGTTGGTTGCAACAACATTGTGAATACACTAATGGGATATATAAAGATGATAAGAATGATGAATTTTTATGCTTATTTTATCACAGTAAAACATTATCGCACTATGGACCTTTTTATATTTTATTTTTAAGCATTTAAAAAGTGATATGCATAGGTCTAAACCATCTGCAGACCTGAAAAGGATGTTCTGGTTTTCTTGACCACTTGGTCTGTCCATTGAGCAGGTTGGAGGTGGCCTGGGTCACAGCTGCAGCCCAGCTAGGGATGTCTGGATGTGCTCCACATACCACCCTGCCCTGGAATCACCATGGGCCCGATGGAGCTGTTCACTTACTCTCGATTTGTGGGGCGCTGCGGTCATTGATCTGGGTGACTTTTCGCAGGCGAGTTCCTTGCTGGATATCAGCCAACAGCGCACTCCGACCTTTTGGATCTGCCTTTCTCAACCTGGAAGTGTCTGTGCTAACCTGTGAGAGAGTAAGAGGGATTTGACCATCATCACATCCAGTTAAGAGATTTCTACTACACAGCTTTAGAGATGATTAAAGACTTCCTAAAGTAAGAAATATGCCTTAGTCCTTTCTGTAGAGGGAATACCATGTGTCTTGGGTTTCAGTTAAAAAATTATCACGTTGGATGTCTTTTCTGACCTCAAATTTAAATAATGCCAAATATTCTTTTTTTCTCTATCATGTTTATTATGAGATATAGGTTTATACATCTTTTTATATAATGAAAATTTCCATTTTTGGTTATGAGTTTAATGTTCACCACCCCTATGGCCTCCTTACCAGATCCTGTTTGTTTTGTCTAACACATCCCCAAGCAATAGGACAGGACCTGGCCTAAGATAGGCTCATTCAGTATTTGTTGGATGATTGGATAAGTGAATGATGAATGAATCAGATCCAGAGAGCATAAGACACTGTTCTCACTCTCAGGACATAGACATATGCCCCTGACATGGGCACACACTGCAAGGAATCTAGTCGCCTATAATCAGTACATTACTGAGCATCGTCTACTATGTCCCACAGAGAGAAAGATCTCAGAGAGCTCAGAAAGAGCTGTGTGTGTTAGGCTGAGCAGGCTTCACAGAGGATGTGAGACCCTATGTTCCCTGGAGTGTAGCCAACATTTACAAATCCTCGCTACAGTCAGTTTCTGTTTAGAAAGGACAAAGCAGCCTTGCTGACTAGAAACTCTTAGCCTCTGTTCTATCACAGATTAGAAACAAAGGTCACTGTGGTTTGGGTTAAAAGTGCTGAGCACACATTTTCACTGGCTGACTCTATAGCTTGGATTATGATCTTATACAGGTTTTGAAAGGCACAAGCTCTAAAGTCTGGTTCTTGTTGCCTGGAAATAAGTGTTTTGGGGCCCTTGAATTAGGGTCAATGAGATAGCTGAGAGTAAAAATTACTAATTCTAATTCATTAGTATTACAATAGGACATTTCCTACATAATATTTTTAGATACTCTATATAAACCATTAATGGAAATCATTTTAAATTGCGGAATTTATAGTGTTTTAAGTTTCCTTTCATTTTACTTATAAAGACTGAAATAAGGCACCAGCTGAAACATTATGACCTTAGCCAAAGGGCATAGAACTTTTTAAAAATATATGACATTACAATCTCAGATATGCATTAAGGCCAGAGATATGGGAAATGAAGTGCTTTGTAAATTTTTCCCTAGAGAGATAAACAACTGTGAATTATAATGATATAATGACTCCAGTGATGGCCTTGGGGAAGGTGAGTGTTCACATGGTACATTCTTCTGTTGGAAGCACTTGGAAAGAGGAGAAAGCCCTGTCCCTCGTTATACCTTGGGAGAGGGATCAGCTCACACCTAATTCAAACTCAATTTCCTGTTTGTTATCAAAATGTATCTCCCACTCCCTGAGCCTGCTGCCCATACCTGGTATTTCATATGAGGTTATGAAAAACATTGCACTGAAATAATGATTTTAGTTTTACTACCTACTTAGCACATGCCTTAGTAAGTTCCTGACCATCTTACATAAAAGATATATTGATGATAGATTTGTTAATAAACAACTTCCACTTCAACAGGAGGACATGACAATTCACATCATGTTATATGATGTATTCAACTTGGTGCTAAATTTAACATTCTTTCTCTTTTAAATTCTTTTTCTTGCTCCAGTATGTACTGTGGTGATTTTCCACCAGGGGGCTCTCCCTGGCCTGGCATACTATGGTATCGTTCCACCCTCTGTGCTCCCATGAGACAGGGAGGAACTGCTGACTGTGGTTTAAGTGCCCATATACATTTAGACTTACAGGGTTTTATACAAAAAAGATATTTTCATTCTCACATGGAAGATCATGTTACTCAAAGCAGTCAATTCTCCTTCATCTGCAATATTTGTCAACAATTCAACTACAATTTTTGAAAAGCCTTCTAACCTCTAAGAATTTTAGTTACTGTGGTTACAGGATATGGAAACAGGAGAGAAGATTCCTAAATATTCACTGAATGTTTTGTTCTATGTGAAGCCAGAGCATTGACAACTCTACTAAAAATATAACCAAGGAAGAGAAAACCATTCCTGGACATTTTTTTCCTAGCAAATATATACACCAAAAACAAAAAACTAAAAAAAACAAAAAAACAAAAAAACAAAAAACCCAAACAAAAACAACAAACTCTTCAAATATCTCTCTTATTGTTTCTTGTTAACAATAGGATGGAATGTGAAAATCTGTTGGGTTGCACACAAAGCTCTGGTATACTCAATTTGCCTACAAGTTTTAAAAGAAGCAGCCCAGGATCCCAAAAAGATGTGAAACAGCGGAAGAGATATACACATTAACTCATTGCCTTGGGAGAAAAGGCTGGAAAACTGAAGTGTGCCAGTAGGATTAAAAATAAAAGAATCAAATGACATACTAATAGAGCCAAGGACAGGGCTAAAACTGGTGAGGTGCCTGTCTTCTTATCTTGATGAATCATGAAAGCTTTGACACATTCGTGTGTTACATCAACCGATGAGTCACCCTTAGCGCAATGCTGTTTGGCGGGCAGAGAAAAACTTTGCAATCCATGTTTTCTGCTATTTGTCACCTTGGCACCATATGCTATTCCTGCATCTGCCTGATAATGGATTCTGTGGGAAATGCTGATGAGAATCTAGCCTTGCATCTGCCTGATAATGAATTCTGTGGGAAATGCTGATGAGAATCTAGCCAGGTGATTCGATTCAAGCAGGTGATTTTTCTCAAAGATGACCAAAACCCAATCATTTTAATACAGTTTCAGTTTTGCAATCTCGGTTGTGGCTGCTAAACCTCAGGTGAGTGCACAGGTTTCCTGGCACAGGAGTATGCTCATGACAGCCCTCAGCCTATCTCAGCCTTCTCAGCCTTGGGACAGACAGGTATCAGCAGCACGGGAACTCCCCAAGTCTGGATTACAAGGACAACCTGGAGTGCACTGCCATTCTTCCTCACCTACCAGATTTTTGTAGGACATAGGGAGCTTGGGATTCAAAAGAGACTGAAATATTTTCAGAATAATACAAACTCTTCCTAGTGGGACCTGACACAATGTTCCTGCGCCCCAAATATGCATAAGTCAGACTGTTCAAGAACGAGGCATACTGTGATCCAACCGTTTTATGCCTCATTTTTAGAAATCTAAATTGTAACTCAAGTCCATGAGCCAAAGGAACCGCTCCTCTAACCTCCTTTTCTGAAGCTCAGTGTTTTAAACCAAGCTGTCCATACCCTGAGCACTGACTTGCACTTTACTACTCCTGCCATCAGGAGATAAAGCTGAATTAGGGACTTATCCAAGAGGGTTTGTGGGTTGTAAATGACCTTGGTTCTTCACATCCATAAAAAGAATGCCCATCAAGGTTGTCTCATCCAACGAAGGCAACACTGATTACTAGACATGGCAAATGCTCTGCAGCCAAAGATCTGGAAGCCACCCCAGGTCCTCACCTGTCTCCCCAAGAGTCAGCCCATCACAACATCCTGTGGTTTTTTTCCTGAGTGATTTTTCTAGAATTTGGACCTCTTTTATATATATATATATCTTTCTTTCTTTCCCTCTTTTATTTATTTATTGTTTGGACAGGGCCTCATTATGTAGCCCAGGCTAGATCCTCCTGACTCAGTTTCCCAAGTGCTAGAATAACAGGCATGTTCTACCACACCCCATTCTGTGATGCTGTCTAAATGCAGGCCAGATGACCGCTGCATTCCGTCACCTACTTCTGCTTCCTGTCTTGTACTCCTCCACAGCAGCAGAGTGAACTTTATAAGGGCCATGTCATTTATCGTGTCATTCCCTGCCATGAAACTCTTTGCTGGCTCTTAACTACTCTCAGGATCCAATTCAAACCCCGCTGGCCCCTGCCCATTGCCTTTAGGGAGCAGCCTAGGATTTCCATTCCACAAACTGGAGTTCACCTCCAGGCTTTGGCTTCAGCTCATTCATTTCCTTGCTCTCTTCGCACTTGCCTCTTGGCAGTCTTCCAAGGAGCCTTCAGATCCTGGAAGGCCAGATGAAGAGCCCTGTCTATGTTCCTAGAGCAACATCCTGATGCTCAGCAAAGCACCTGCTACCCGGATCATGTCGCTGTCCTCCCAACCTGCAGTGGCTGTCCATCTTATGCGAATAAAACATTAAAAGTCCTCATTAATGTTACTCACTGGCTTAGCATTTCCACCTGTTCCCCTGCAGGCACTGGTAAATGCTAGCACTTTTCTACCCAAGCCTGTGTTATAAAGCAGTCCCACTGTATGGCAATCCCTCTCTGACTATGAACTTCTGCTGATAAATGGCAGTAGTTATTGTTATGGATCATGAGAATTTTAATTCCAATATGAATCCCAAGTTCCTTCAGTAGAAAGCAATCAGAAAAGAAGAATGGGGATGGAAAGAGAAGTGAAGGAATACGGAGAAAGAGGGATTTGACACAGGTATAAATAAGTCTGGCAGAGGCAGGTCTCATAGACTCAACCACTCCCAAGCCACAGATTCAGAAAGGCATTCAACATAGACGGCGTGTTGGACAAATCACATCTTTAAATGTATATGATGGTTATTTTAGCTGATAAAGTGAATTTATTAGTAGCTCAAGGAAACTTCTGGAAAGAAGGGACTTAGAAAGTTGGTAAATAGAAACCAGTAAAGAAAATCACTGTTGCCATGTAATTAATAACAGTAATCTTTCAGATATCTGAGTGCTATGTGCCAGACATTGTGCTAGGCTGACTGGGTGCCAGGAATGCAATAAGGGTAAGAATGCGAGGATCTTGTTTTCAGAGAGTGCATTTACATATGTGTGTATGTAAGTGTTTGTATATCACATGTGTATGTTTAGATACACATATGTATATATTTATATAGATTTATGTGTATGCATATATGTATGTTTTCTCATAATTTATTTTCTAGATCTGAACCTCATAACTGCTCTCCAAAATTAGAATCTTAATCTCATGAACTGAACAGAAGAGACCAGGTCTAGGAGTCAAGGGTATGGAACAGGAATAGCTAACAAATAACGCACAGTCTGAACAATGTCTCAAAAACTGTGACGTTTCAGATCTTCCTTTTAGATAAAATACACTACCAAAAAGAAATATCAGACTTCTTTCTGTCAGTTAACAAATAAAACTTCACTGTCAGCCTCAATTCCACCTCTTAACTTGGCACTTTCATTTCCGGTAAAGGCTTGCAGCCTCAAGGATACCTACAGTGTGCTTCCTCTCCTTTATTTGAAGTAGTCAAGCCTTCATCAAGAACTGGCTCTTCTCCCTACTATAGGGTGCACACAGAGGTGCCTTTGGAATCTGGGTAAGGAAACCAGCAAAGGGGATGCAAAATGCCAAGGGTTACAATGACAATGACAACAGAAGCAGTAACAAAAAGTGCTGTCCATGGAAGGCATTTGTGTGTGCCAGGCATTGTTCCAAGTACCAAGTATATTAACACATTTCAGGAGCTGGAGAACAACTCCATTATGTGGGTAATAGTTGTGAGTATTACGTCCAGTTTATAGATGAGGCACAAATGTGAAGCCAACTCCACTGTCAGGAAGTGTGGAGCTGAAAGGTAACCCAGGCATGAGTGGCTGTCTTAACCACTGAGCAAGACAGCCTGTTCTGCAATGATGTCACCCAGAAAATGAAAGGCAGACGTGCAGCTGGGCAAGTGGGAATGGACAACTGCCCTCTGGCCTGGAACCAGCATAAATGATACTTCATAAGAAATGTGGGAGCCCAAGCAGAAAGAAGAAAAGAAAAAAGAAGGAACAATGATTCATAGCTTTGCTCAAGAATAGCACCAATGATGGGATTCTTGTTCACTCTAGGGAAGCAGCATCAAAGAAAAAAGAAGGGCTGGCAGAGGGTGGGGCAAGGGCAGAGCTCCTAAATGCTAGGCCTCTGCCAGGGTTCAGAAGGCTGACCAAGGCTGAATGCTGGACTCTGAGAATAGCCTGCAGGGCCTCAGATGGGAACCAGCAGCTATCTTGGCAGGGGAGGACTGGGGCACTTAAAATGGAAACCATGAAGAGTAACACTATACTGTGAGGCTGATACCCTCACCTGTAAACTATCTGCGCCTGGAACTCCCTTGTCAGGTAACACAGAACCTCTTTCGCATCAGCCTTGCTGGTCCACCTCTCTGTTTCCAGAGTAGCTGGGTGCCTATTCTTCATACTTGCCCCCCTGTTGGCTGTAGGGTAAAAGCAGTTTTCTCAGCATTGTTAACTCTGAAATAGCAGAGGTTATAAGTATGATCCACATATAAAAAGAAAGAAAAGAAAAAAAATCCAACCAAGAAGGGTAAAATTTCAAAATTTCTAGCAAGTTCAAGGTATTTCCAAAGAACAGTATTGTGCCATTTAGAGATGATTAAAAACATAAGTGCACTTAGACTTTTTTTCACACAGTCACTTTTCTAGGTCCTTTGCATGGAAAGCCCCTGAGTCTGGACATGGATTGGATCCTAGAGGAACAATGATTCATAGCTTTGCTCCAGAACAGCACCAATGATGAGATTCTTATTCACTCCAGAATCTGCTTCCAAACCTCTCCAGGCTGGACTCATGGATCAGCAGATTCAGGCTGCCCAGCATACGTGCTCCGTAGGTCTGCCAACATCCTTGGCTTGCGCCCCAGTGCTGCCTCATTCAGTGGAGAGCAAGGCCTTCTCTTCCCTATGTGGCACTCAAAGCACTCTGCCTTGGTTTTCAGGGCATCCTTACCTCGCCCAGTGTCTCTGTGCTCCACGTGCTCCACTTTTTTGTTCTTCCCTGATCCGCTGCTTTTCTGTGCTACTTGGCTCCCAACATCTCCCTAGCAAATGGTTATAAATGCAGTCTGGTATGGTGGAGAGAGGGAGTTCAGGCTCGCTTTTTTAGTTTTCTCCTCCTGTTCTCATTGACTTGTGACTTAGGGAACTTTCTCCGTCTGGTTTGCCAGTGGCCAAGAGTTCTTGGTAGATTAAGAACTCCTAGAGGGGCCCATTTGCTTCCAGCAGTGGGAGATAACTTTTCTTTGCACTAAACATATTATGGGCACAAAGCCAGAAGTGGTGGCTCAAGTCCAGGTCCATCCAAGGCAACTTAGTAAGACCTTGCCTCAAACATAAAATTAAAAATGGACTAGGAAGGTATCTCAGTGTGAAGGTCCTCGGTTCAGTTCCCAGTACCACACACACAAAACAAATGTGGGCATCTTGAATGGGAATCTGAATCTGCTATTCGCTAGTGGATTAATTGAGGCAAGTTACCTAGCTTCTTTAGGTCTCAGTTTTTTCATCTGTAAAATTGAGAAGTGAATAACCACTACATAAGTTGTAGTGAGGGTTACACAAGGTTATCTACATAATGAGCACTTGGTACCTCTTAATTACTCAATAAATGTTAGCTATTAATATCACATCCTTCTAATAATTTCCAACAGACTCCTACCTTTTCCTGTTGTAAAACTTGTGTTTTTTGGAATAAGGCCAGGAATCCAGAAACCAAACCCCACCTCCCAAGAAAATCCCCTGGTGATAGTTATGTAGCAGGCCTAGAAAACACCAGTTCAAATTAAAAAAGAAAGAGATGAATTCCCAGCAAGAGAATATGTAAAAAGCCAGATGATGCTAGATATCAAAAGAAAAAAGTAGTATGTTTCTTCTCTTTACCCCAAGCAAAACAAAGAGAATGTGAAACTCCAGGAAAAAGGGATAACTGTGAAGAAAGACATTGTGAGCAATTCATAAGAAGCGAGTTACCGTATGATTATACTGTCAAGAGGCGCTGGTCTCAAAGAGAAAAATACAAATGTATAATCTCACTTGCTTCTATAAAATATTATTTACACTTTATAATCTTGAAAATACTATTTTCAGGAATTTTCAATTTTTAGAGACAAAGCAGGGAACACTTGACTATGGTCACACAATGTGTTATCAACTTTAGTTACGAAGAAGTTGACAGAATCCGGCAATCTAGAAAATGAATGCTAAACTCTAACTAAGTGGGGCTCATTTTGAGAATGCAGTCTAGGAATATTGGGTTCCATCTATGAAAATCAACCAACAACCATCCCCATATTAAGATTCTAAAGAGGAAGAAAAATTTCATGATTGTATCAATTGATTTTAAAAAAGTACTACCCTCTATTCATCATAAAAACTCTCAGCAAACTAAGAATGGAGAGCAATTTCATCAGCCTGACAGTGCGCACTGACAGAAACACTAATGCTAACATCATACTTAGTGGTGAAGCATTTCCTTCTGTGATCAGGAAGAAAGCAAGTTGTTCCTTCCCCCATCAATCTTACTTGACAACATAATGAAAATCCTAGAAAGTGCAATAAGGCAAGACCAAGAAATGCACAGTATACAGATTGAAAAGAAAGAAAGAACATCTTTTTCTTTGTAGAAAACTTCTAGAACTAATAAACAAGTTAGCAAGGTAATAAGATACAACATTAACACACAAAAAATCACTCATTTCTATATACCAGCCATAAACACAGGAAATAAAGAATCTAGAAATACTTTAAAATAGCTCCAGGTACAAAAGAAATATTCATGTACAGATCTAACAAAACACATAGAGGACACAGATTCTGACAATCGCGGAATGCTGAGGAAAGGAAGAAGACCTGAAAAAAAATGCTATGTCCATAAACTGGAGGGTTCAGCATAGTAGTAAAGATGACAGTTCTGTCCAGGCTGACCTACAAATTTAATTCAATTCCAATCAAAACAGTAATAGAATTTTAAGTAGATATAGGCATGTTGATTATACAGTTTACATGGAAAGGTAAAAGAACTAGATTAGCCAAATGATTTTGCAAAAGAACAGTAAAATCAGAGTACCCACACTACCTGATTTACCCTTTACTGTAAACTACAGTAATCAAGACGGTATGGTGTTGCCCAAAACATAAACACACGGATCAATGGAACAGATGAAGAGGCTCAGAAACAGGGTTCAGCCATACAATTCACACAAATGGTCAATGGATTTTTGACAAAGGTGCAAAGACAATTAAAACAATGAAAGATAAAGTTTTCACTGAATGGTGCTGGAACAATTGGACAACCAAATGCAAAAACAAAAGTCAACCTAAGCTGCATTCTTTATACACAATTAGCTCAAAATGGATCACAGACTTAAACATAA